GCAATCCACCAACCACCCCGCACACACATAATCAAAAGTGCCTTGGCATAATAAATAAGTGCATTTGAATCGCTTTTAGCTTTAGTGAAAGACGAAATATGCACACTTAGTTGGCTGCTCTGCAATTGCCATTTAATTAAAACACTTTGCCATTTATAAGGCCGTCTGTCGCTCGGTTTATTTTTGTAATTTTGAAATAATTTGTGGCCATGCTTAGCCAAGCTGAAGCGTTTACTATAATGCATTTTGCCATAGTTCAAGAGATTATAAGTTCAATTTAGAGCGCATTTCCCCGGGGGAACTGCGCCAATGTAGTGCACTATTTCCATAAGAAGATAATAATTGTTCAGCCGGGTCTAAGCGCTCTTTAGGGTAAGTACTTGTATTCATTGGACTATTTACCTTGTTATTTTGTCTATATATTGTGTTAAAATAATTTAAAAGTATTAAAACCTTTAATTTTTGTATATTTGTTAACAATGATACTGTAATATCCTATTTTTCCTATACGTTCGTGTATTTATTTCTTTTCCCCTTTTAATAAAATATCTAGTATACATTCGCAAAATATACTTTAGTTCACAGAACACATTTTCCCTGCGCGCATTTTAATTATCCACTGTGAGAAGTCCCCAAAAAACCATTGACAACATAATCCAGGGTGCATAATGTTTCATTTTCGCCCTGGTTTCATTAATTTGCCTTTGCGGAATTTTGCTGATTTGTTGCTGCCTATTACTGCAGTGGCTACTGCAGTTGCTGCTGCAGTTGCTGCTGATGCTGCGGGCAGTGAAACTGCAGCAGTCATCATATTAAAATGCAATTATACAATGGCTTTTGTATTGCCACCTGGCCCCGCCCCCCATTCAAATCGCCCATTTTTGTCGCACTCGTGCATAATTTAAACCGATTTAGATGTTCAGGGTGGGTGTGTGTTTTGGCATTTCGTGCATTCATAACGAGATGCATCAAAATTTAAATTGCCATCCATCGACAGTGGGCGCTCGAAATGTGTGCTGGGCGGTCAAAGGTTAAGTTCGGATTCTTTAGTGGCAAACTTCTTTTAAGTGCTAGTTAGATATATCTAAGGCCATAACTTTTCTCAGTGAACCCCCTCGATTTATTCGCTTAAGGCCGATTATTATTGTTCAGTAGATAAATATAATAATTGGTAAGCTTTCAATCTTAATGATGTAACACGTCTGAAAATGTTGGAATAATATATGAAAATCAGAACTCAGATAGTTGAAATCCAGGTACCACTGTAAGTGTCAGCGTTTTGTGTATAGATGCCGCTAGATGGCGCCAGACGCCCAAGAACCTTCGGCCGAAAAGTTGGCAATGGATTTGGCCAACGTGTAAAAGAGTTAGAAAGGCCAACGAAAGACGGAGAGGGAAGAAATGCGGCAGAAGAGAGTGCAGCAAGGGGGAAGGGGAAGGGCAGGGAAAGTGCAGTGAAGTTGTCGGCACAAAGGCGATGGGTCGAGGGGCGTGGCAAACGGGGGATTTCCCCGGAGTTAGGACCAACTTTAGCACTTGGTCCGCCCCTTTATCCTTGGCTTTCTCCGTTTTTTGGTGTTATTTTTTTCTTTGCTGGCATTTTAAGCGTGCAAATGTTAAGTTGGTAGACTACCTCCCCTCCCCCCCCCTCCCCCTCTGCCTTTTTGCAGAGAAAAACTTGGAGTTGGCGTCGTCGTCGCCGCCCTTTTGTGCCAACTTGACAAACTAAAAATGAAAAAAGTTTCCCCGAGCGGCGCCTTTTTCAATATCCTTTTCCCCACAAAGCGGGGGGAAAAAGGCGGGAGGGGGGCGGGGCGAGTTGGGGTCGAAGGTGAAGTAACATGTAAGAAGGCAGCCATGGAGACGACTCGACGTATTGATTTTGATTTTGGCCCGCCACTCGATACCTTTCAGCCGGAATCCGAGGGCATCCGCGGGGGATGCCCAGCAGGATGAGTTCGTGCCGGGAATGCGGGGGATTTGCCGCATTAATTGGCAATTAGATGGGTTTTTCCTTACCAGCTGATCCGATCACTCGGAAGCGTATCAATTTCGACTTCAATTAAATTTATTTTGCATTTATTTCTTCATATTTTCCCCCGCATTCCCTCCATAATATTTGTATATCAGTAAACTACTCAAACCAATTCTTCTTTAAAAGCATTGTTCAAATTTAATTTAATGGTCGACATTTTTATTTGAAATCAATATATCATATAAGAAGAAATGCAAATAAAACAAGTTAGTTGATTTACTTAATTAGTTTAGGACCTTTTTTTAGAAAGTGTGATCTTATAAAAAATACTTCAGGCCCTACACAATGATAATAACTTATTTAAAGTATATACAATTAATTAAATAGGTTTTCTTGAATATATGTTAATCATTGTTTTCGGAGCTTTCATTCAGCCTCTTTGACCTTTGAGTTGAGCTCAATAAAATGTGGGACTTCTCTGACCAGCCAGCAAATTAATCGTTTCTAATCATTCCAGCCTGCCGAAAAGCCTGTCTTGTTTTGATTGAGTTGATCTTGTCTGACCCCTAACCCGAGCCAATTAATCGTTGAAAACCGGTTCGCATTCCCCTCCAATCTCTCCGATCGGCAGATAATTTCAGAGAACCTGTCAGCTCCAAAAGTTCAATTCCCCTGAAGACGGCTGCTTCTCTCCGCTATTTATGCGTAATTTGCCAATTTGCCCAAATTTCTGGTATTGAAAAAATAAACAGAGACGACGGGAGAAATGAACAAGGCAGCATGCACTGAGAAAAAGTTCTGGCTCATACAAAATATATATTAAATTTAAGTAATGCAAAAATAAAAGAAAATAAAACTGTAAGGTTACATCTCAAGAAAGAGTTAACAAGTAAACAATTAATATTTGCAAAATAAATAATGCTCGATTTATATAAAGCTTAAGTCTTTGGACTTGAAAAACAAATATTAATATTTTGTTAAGTCGAGATTGGTTTAAAATGTCCATACAATTTTTGTTTGTACCACGCTACACTCCTTTGATTCGGTTTTTGGGTTGGGTTCACGCTTTATTTTATTTTCATGGTTCATGGACGGGCCAGTTATCCTTGAACTTGCCACAGTCGGCGGCAGGATATCATGTTCCCATATTTCGTCTGGCCCCTGGTGGCCTTCTTTTATTTATATAAAATTGTGCGGCAAGTCGTTGACTTGGCCTAATCCAAACCTTTTGCCCCCGCCCATCAATTGTTCCCGAGAACTCGAAAAGGGCAAAAGGATTTTCCCAGTCGCGCCATTTTGTTTTACGTGCGACGCGAACCATTTCAGGGTCAAACGTTTATATAAAATACCCCCACATATTTATCAGTGCACAAATACCTTTTGTTCTTGCCCAATTTGCCGTAAAATATTGCAAAATGAAATTTAAAACCTCTTCAAGTTTTTCCCTTATTTTCCATCCCATCTTGGGTTTTCACCCCATGAGTTTAACGGAAATGTCGCTGCAATTTAATTGGAAGAAAGGGAACTGAAATTTAATAAAACTGATAGTAAAATTCACAGAAAATTAAACTAAGAAAAGTAAGATGAACTAAAAATGCTTGTGAAATAGTTGAAAAAGCTAAATACGCTAAGGACTTTATATTCATTTCATGAGAGCTAAGATATTTCTTGTATGCCTTGAACATGTTCGAATCAATAAAGATAAAATATACAATAATAACAAATAATTATATTTGGATAATTGCAGTCAAAAGTTAGCAAAGCAGTGAACAAAACATTTCCGACCCTATAAAAAATATATATTCTTGATCAGCATCACCAGGAGAGTCGATGCCCGTCTGTCAGTTTCTACGCAAACTAGTCCCTCAGTTTTAAAGCTATATGCTTGAAACTTTCCAAGAAGTTGTCTTTCCATTGCAGGTAGTATATAAGTCGGAATGAGCCGGATCGGGCGACTATATCATATAGCTCCCATGGGAACAATCGGAAAAAAAATTCAAAAAAAATTATTAAATTGCTGGTTTTAATTTTTGCTTTGTTCTTTGGGATTTGGTAATATTTAAATATTATGGAATTACGGTTATAATTAAATTAAAATCGGACAACAATATCATATAACTGCCATAGAAATGATGACAAAATGCAGCGCAAAATCGACATCGCTTCATTGTTTTTAGTAATATAGGCATATAAATCGAAATGTAGTCGTTTTGTAATAACTGCAAGGGTATATAGACTTCGGCTTGCCGAAGCTTGCTTTCTTTCTTGCTTCTAATTTATTTTCGATCAGAGAATAACTGCACCTTTTTTGTATAAGGTATATTGTCGGAAATGTTTGGCATTGCAAACTTGTGACCTAAATTATAATATAACCTTGGTATAAAAAACGAAAGCTTATCGCACTCGTTTCGTACTCAAGTATTTATTTATAGCTGGCTGATAATCTTGAACCGCAAAATGATCTTCAGATGCTACTGAAAGTGCTTATCTGTGCGCAAGTATGTTTGTAGACTCCGTTTTCCGGTATTTGAATCGATTTCGGGAATCACATTCAACACCAGAGCAGAAAGAGAATCGTGGCCTCGACTTTGCACTTTGGGTAGCAACCACTCAAGAATTAAAGAGTCTGCAGGCTGGAAAGTACCCTTATTCAGATCATTTCCCCAAACTCCCTTACATACCAATCATAATGACTTAATACAAACATTTTAAATACCCAATTTAATAACAATGGCAAACGGCATCCGAATAAAAAGTAAAGCGAAAACTTGCATAGTCCCTATCGGTTATATAGGGAGTGTCGTTAAATGAATGTTTCCCGGGATCTGGATTCAAGATTCTGTATTCAGGATTCCGAATTATGGCGGATTGGGAGCACCCAAGAACACACTGACAGATTTCTGTAAACCCAAATTGAGCAAAATCTACAAATAGCTTACCAACCCTCTCCACTTATCCGTATTTATGTTCCCAAAATACACAGATCAGTTGTAAAAAAATCTCAATCAGTTTATTAAATCTCCCATTTCATCAAATGAAAACAAATTAATAATAATAGACAGCATTAAGAGTACAGTACAGATTTCGTACTTTGTATTACTATTGAAATAGTTCATACTTAAACCGTGTACTTGGGCCTTATCATCATTTCGACAAAGATAAGTGATTCAAACATATCTTCATGCCATGAGTCCCAATTAACTCCGTAATAACTTTCGCCATCTTTGAAGTATTTTCCATTGAGCGCACTGCAATTTTAAGTGATTATAATAAGAAGATTTAATAAGAGCATAAATAAACAGGTATACCTGTATGAACAGCTATTGTGCCACCATGCACCATATCTAGAGGCACAATTTCCGTTACTTTTATTGTCATTATCCCGATCAAATGTGGAGAACATTTGGTTCTTACTGTATGTAAGGGAGTCTCCGGCTTCACCAGAATATTCACCTAGATTCTTCAACTCGTACAATTCCTTTTCACTCCCAATCTTAAAGTCATCGTAATGAGCGTAGCTGGTGGATCCATTAACACTCCCAAGTTTAATGTAGAGTTCGTGGGGTCGTGCCTCTGTCATTCGATGCAATTTTTCCAGCCCGATGAAGAATTCTCCTCTGACATCCCCAAATCCATATTTATAATCATTCCAGTTTCGATCGAAGTTCTCGGATCCGTCAATGCGTCTCTGAATTACAGTCCAACCACGTGGAGACGTCGCACATGGCACTTCAAAGGGTTCAAGACCCCGAACCTTTATTTCGTAAATCCCATTGCCACTGGGACAAGGAAAAATATCATAATTTTGCAATTCCGAAAGCTGACTAGATAGTTCTGATTTTGTTTTCTCAATAGCTGTTATTTGAGTCGTAAGGGTCGAGATTTGTTCATCTCTATTTTTAAGGTGCTCCTCTTTCACCTTTAAAATATCCTCTTTGCTTTTGGTTTGACCTTCCGATATTTTTAACTGACTCTGCAAGTCTTTTATAGTGTTTTTCAAAGTATTAAGTTGGCTTTTGAGTTCATCGTTGGCATCGGCTGTTATTTTTAACTGTACAAAATAAATTAGAATAGGCGATAAAATAATAATCATTGCATTCGTTTTCAATATTTAAATCTTAATTAAGCTTACAAAAGAAAATATTGATAACGTTGTCAGCGTCGATTCAAAAAAAAGTGAACAAAATTTGTATAATGAACTTTCGTTGCAGTATTATACTAATTTTTTTAAAAAATTTTACAAATGTGTTTTTTTAATCATTAAATTTACCTATAAACAGAGATAAGCAATTTCGATGCGATTTCTAAGATTTCTATTTGTCTGTCAGTCTGAATGTCTGTCTGTAAGTCTGCTATCAGTAACTCACCGTCCTAAGTTCCTCCATTCTGTCCAATCTCGCAACCAGCTTGGTCTGCAGAGCCTTAATTGAATTCGCGAAGTCTTCTTTTGTGATGAGTTCCTGCAGTTGGTTCTTCATTTCGGAGTTCACCGCCATATGTTGTTCTTCCGCCAGCTTGAATCTCGAATCGAGTCCTGTCTCGATTTCATCCAACCTTTTTCGGATATTATCAGAATGGTCTAAAAGCGGGTTGAGTGCGCCCAGGCAATAGGAGCCGCACTGTCTTGGTTCATCTTGGAGAACGCACAACGACTGATCCTTTGGATTGGACGCGATTCCTCCTTGCACACTTGGAAAAATTAATAAGCCTAGCAAATAGGATAACTGCCTCAGCATTTTGAGATGTTCCATCTACTCAAATCGAATTTAAAAAGTGTACTGAGATGTAGCTATAAGTTGAAGAAACAACGAAGCCAAAAATATTGCTGATAAGCCCCGTGAACATTCAAATTCCGGATGTATGGCATGTGGCCGTCCTAATCTCTAATCCGTTGTCCAAAAATCGGAAGAAACCAGATTGCCTAATTTGTATACATATGTATGGACTACAATATAACTAGAAATGAGCATTTGTTCTTATCGCTTACTTGCGTTTTATTTATTTTTAAATCAACAAAAAAAAACAGCGGGATAGTTGCAAAGTTCATATTTTTATACCCTTTCAGAGGGTATTCTAATTTTGGTCAAAAGTGTGCAACGCAGTGAAGGAGGCATCTCCGACCCTATAAAGTATATATATTCTTGATCAGGATCGCCTGTATCGAGTATTTATGAGTATTTAGAATGCATCTTTTGAATAGTTTTGAGAATATAATGTACAGAATATTCTGCAAGGGTATATCAAGTTCGGCTCCAAGTGAGCTTTTCTTTATCGTTTGTTTTGACCAAGCAATTTTAAAACTAAAACCACAGTGCTCCGTTTATTCTCTGTTTTATATTAAGTATACGTATGCTTGCCGTTTTCATGTATTTTTTGTATATAAATAAACACGTTTTAGCACTTAAGAAAATAAAAAAAAAAATGTGTTTGTATAAGGTGGACTATTCGACTCAGTTGGCCACCTGGAGGCGTCTCCAGATGCGCTGCAACCGAGAGTCGGAGTCGAACTGAGCCGCTTGAGTCTGGGATCGATCGTTGTGATAGGGTTCGATGAACTTTACCGCCGACTCCGAGTTGCGCTGCTGATCTGCCGACTGCTTTTTGGTTGGCCTTCTCTTCTGATGTCGCCGCTTTGTTTGCGGATGCTTGTGGACCCGCCGATGGGTCTTTTTGACCAGGTTCTTTTTCCTGCCCAACGGCACGCCCATCAGCCGGAACTTCTTCGGCCACTGGGACTGCTTTTTCTGGCCATGGGTCGGCACTTCCAGGGGCACCTGCTCCTCGGGAGGAGCTCCGCTTGGGAGGTCCAGGCGATCCTCGAAGGCGCGACCGGTCAAGGTGGTCACTTCGATCTCCGGGCCCCCATCATCCTTTCGGTCCACACTTCGCTGCAGGGATCGTCGCGTGCTGTTCGTGGTGGGAGTGGTCACTGTGGTCGTTGTGGTGGTGGTATAGGGCGATCCAGTGGGCGTGGTCGTGGTCGTCGTGGTCGAGGGATCCGAGATCACAATCACATTTTCACTGGGCGGCTGCTGGAAGAGTCCACGCATCAGCATGAACTTCTTCATCAGATCCCGCCCAGATCCCACATCCTGGGGCGATGGACTGCCGGAGGCACTGCGTCCTTGGACCTTCGGTAGGCGGTACGCTGAAGGGCAGGAATTAACACGGATTATTGGAGAAAACTATCAAAAATAATCTCTGGTGAATCGTTGCAAAAATTACCTTTATTTTTATGTTTTCAATCGAAAATTACATAAGATTCATTTAAAAAAGCCCTACGAAATACAACATTTTAAGACCATTAAAAATTTGTATTTATAAATGGTTTTTATTTGCCAATCTTTTAATATTTGTTTTATTCGATTTGGTAATTAGTTAAATTTAAAGCTCAATTCGGGAAGAAACTTTATAAATAAAGTTATGACAATGGGCTGCAACTATTATTTAAAGTTATTTTTGGCAGCCTTTGATCTTATGTATTTTTTTTTTAGTTGGACTCTGGGATCCATAGCCAAACTTAAGTAGGGCAAATAAAAATTTCAAAGTCTAACTTAGTGGTGTATCCGAACTCACCGCTCCGACGGGACTCGCAGTTGGCCAAAAGCGCGAGAAGGACGACCAGAAGGGTGGCCAAGTTCGGGGGGATCTGCATGGCGACGGGGTTCCCTGGGCAGTGATGGACCTCCGATCGACGACCTGCGTTCTTATAGCTCCCGGTGCAATTAAAAATTTCACCCGCCCCGGTATCAAATGGAACGAGAGTGACACAGCTTGCGTGATGCCCCGTCGACATGCAATTATCGGGCGGCCCAGAACGGGAAGTCGGTGGCGGGCCTGGACGGGGAAAGTATCTCTGGATACGCCCAGACAAGCTCCGATCTCCCCGACCACCGGGCAGTAAATCAAATCTAATAAACTCGACAATAAACATGCGTTCGCATAAATCTGCACTGGCCAAAGGGGAAAAACTCGAAGGCAAAGATACTCCGGGCTGTATAAATAAATAAACGAACTCATGTCCGCCCGCCCCAAAATACAGCTCGGTTCAAAATAATAATGGCCCTGCAAATCAAAATGGTTTCGAAAGCTAAATTTAAGATAAACAGGTTTTACTTAAGGAATCTATATTAAAAACAGTTTAATTTTGTAATATTTCAAACCCTTTGAAAATACTTTAAAATGTGGACTAGCAGTTTTTTGAATATCAGGTGATCTAATAAAACTAACAACAAATAAATTATTTTAACTACAATTTATTTTAAGTACTTCTAAGTCATTAGCCTGCTGAAGTGGTAAGAATATTTTAAAATAATTTTTATTAGCCCAACCTGGTTGAGGGAAAATGTTTACTAGAACGACTTATATTTTTTCAAGCTCGGTCGTATCGGATTTATTTGCCTGCGCATATTTATATTACACGACCAGTATCTGGGGCATAATGTGGCCTGCTCGGATAGTGTCGAGTGCGTGAGCCGCACCACCAGGCAAATAACTTTGGCATAATTCACTTAAATCTTTTTGTTTTAATCTTGAAAAGTGTTTCCCACAAAACTCTCGCCAGCACGCACACGCAGAGCTTCTGACAGGCGAGAGATACAAGATACAAAGATACAAAGATACTTGTCTACGTGTGCCGGTGCCATTTCCTTGGCCCCCAGCTTTGGCACCCGCCTCGCAAAATGCTTTCCGTAATCATCCAGAGTGTTGTGTCAATAGCTCGGCGTTCCCTTCCACTTTGTATTTACTATTATCATTATTATTTCTACTGTAACACTTGTGGTCAAGTGGAAGTTGCAGGAGCCGCCGACTGCCGGTTGGAAAATCTATAAAAGGTTCTGAGGGCTTACAAATACAATTGCTCTTCTGCATACTTTAAATAGTTTCATTGATTGGCAGTTATATTTTTATTTTTTTAATTTGAAACATGCAAATTTAGGTTTATCTATCGAGAGCTTTTTGTTTAAACGTTATCAAAGTGGCTTAACAATAAAAAAGACGGAACTGAATTTAAATTCGCATTCACGGACATACTGGCAAGAAATGATTTAAGAGATTAATTTTTTTTGTGTGCGAAGCAAAACCTTGAAACAGTTTACAATAACCAATTAAAATCCCTTGCATATTTATTGGTGAAATGCAAAATATGTCTCCTGTTAAATAATTGGAGAAGCTATTTTAATGCATTATTCCGAAATGTTGATGGAAAAAATTAAAGATCTACGAATCAATCATAATTTTGCTTGTTCTTTTGCATTGCTTAAATTTCATTTATTTTGCTTGCCCAATCAATAATTTAAATGACTCGTTGTGTTTTTGTGTTTGTGTTTTATATTCTGAGGAATTCATCTTCGGTTATTATTTTGCTTGCATTTCTGATTAAATATCTTCAAGTGTCTACGGCCCTCGGAGTTGGAAGCCAGACGATGTTTGGCATAAAATTCAATTATAGAATTTTCTATTAACTTAAAAGCTTCTTATATTTATTTAATTTGCCATTGTGTCTCAGTTAGGTATTCGCCTGTGCGAAGTGTGGGAGATGGGTCCACATCTATCTGTTATTATTATTGAGTCCTCGACAGTTGAGAGCACAGAATGTTGCCATCAATTAGACACACATTCAGATGTTGGGCAGTGTGGGTCGGAAAATTCCTACCATTTGCCATTTTGCCATTCGGCATTTTCTTCATTTCGTCCGCAAACATTTGCCAGATAATTTGACAGAACTCTGTCTTTGGAAAAGTCCATATTTTTGACTGATTGAATTGTCTTCGCAGCAAATTAAAATTGATCTAGTTTGCGCATCTATTTCATAGAGTTTTTCCCTCTGAAAAACTTTCTTTTCCCGCGCTCATGTAAAATGTTTATGGGTAATAAGCGAAACTCTGCTCGCAAATTGAAAAGTTTTCCTTCCGGCCAATAGAAAAACTTATCAACTTAATATTATTGGGCGAGCGCAGAGATGAGAGGAGTTTCGCGAAAAAAGTTGTGCATTTTTCACTCCTGTTCACACTCCTTTTCACAGTTGCGTTCAGAATAATAGGTGTGGCCGCAGAAACGTACTTACTGGAAAGATTATTTGTTAAACATGATGGCTGTTTAACAAACAAATTCATCATTGAATTTTCTGGATTAATTGTTATTTTTGCAGAATATTAAGTAGAATTTTTCCAACTGAGAATTACTACTACGATAAACACAGCTGTCATAAAGAAGAGAAGTTGTTGGACTTTCGCTAGTTTGGATGATTAGGCTGTCAACGCAATTGATTCCAATTAAAGTTGCCAACTCGGCTGAGATTGTATGCTAGAGCGTTCAAAAAATATGGAATAGGAAAACTTGCCTTTGAAATATAGTTATAGCTTAAGGCAAATTAATGAAGTTGGATTTTCTCAAGTACTGAACTCCATAACTTCCCCAAATTTAATCCGATTCCAAAGTGGCATACCTCTAAAGACTTGTGATTCGATTCTCTGAAAATCTGCATTCAAAATTTTCATTTTAGCGTTGGTCGACTTTATGACCCATTTTCATGTTGGTTATTTCTAAGTTTCCGATGATGTGTCAAATGGTGACCCTCAATTGGGCTTCTGAACTCCATAACTTCCCCAAATTTAATCCGATTCCAAAGTGGCATACCTCTAAAGACTTGTGATTCGATTCTCTGAAAATCTGCATTCAAAATTTTCATTTTAGCGTTGGTCGACTTTATGACCCATTTTCATGTTGGTTATTTCTAAGTTTCCGATGATGTGTCAAATGGTGACCCTCAATTGGGCTTCTGAACTCCATTACTTCCCCAAATTTAATCCGATTCCAAAGTGGCATACCTCTAAAGACTTGTGATTCGATTCTCTGAAAATCTGCATTCAAAATTTTCATTTTAGCGTTGGTCGACTTTTTGACCCATTTTCATGTTGGTTATTTCTAAGTTTCCGATGATGTGTCAAATGGTGACCCTCAATTGGACTTCTGAACTCCATAACTTCCCCAAATTTAATCCGATTCCAAAGTGGCATACCTCTAAAGACTTGTGATTCGATTCTCTGAAAATCTGCATTCAAAATTTTCATTTAGCGTTGGACGACTTTTTGACCCATTTTCATGTTGGTTATTTCTAAGTTTCCGATGATGTGTCAAATGGTGACCCTCAATTGGACTACCGAACTCCATAACTTCCCCAAATTTAATCCGACTCCAAAGTGGCATACCTCTAAAGACTTGTGATTCGATTCACTGAAAATCTGCATTCAAAATTTTCATTTTAGCGTTGGTCGACTTTTTGACCCATTTTCATGTTGGTTATTTCTAAGTTTCCGATGATGTGTCAAATGGTGACCCTCAATTGGACTTCTGAACTCCATAACTTCCCCAAATTTAATCCGATTCCAAAGTGGAATACCTCTAAAGACTTGTGATTCGATTCTCTGAAAATCTGCATTCAAAATTTTCATTTTAGCGTTGGACGACTTTTTGACCCATTTTCATGTTGGTTATTTCTAAGTTTCTGATGATGTGTCAAATGGTGACCCTCAATTGGACTACCGAACTCCATAACTTCCCCAAATTTAATCCGATTCCAAAGTGGCATACCTCTAAAGACTTGTGATTCGATTCTCTGAAAATCTGCAATCAAAATTTTCATTTTAGCGTTGGTCGACTTTTTGACCCATTTTCATGTTGGTTATTTCTAAGTTTCCGATGATGTGTCAAAAGGTGACCCTCAATTGGACTTCTGAACTCCATAACTTTACCAAATATTATCCGATTTCAAAGTGGCATACCTCTAAAGACTTGTGATTCGATTCTCTGAAAATCTGCATTAAAAATTTTCATTTTAGCGTTGGTCGACTTTTTGACCCATTTTCATGTTGTTTATTTCTATGTTTCCAATGATGTGTCAAATGGTGACCCTCAATTGGAATTCTGAACTCCATAACTTCCCCAAATTTAATCCGATTCCAAAGTGGCATACCTCTAAAGACTTGTGATTCGATTCTCTGAAAATCTGCATTCAAAATTTTCATTTTAGCGTTGGTCGACTTTATGACCCATTTTCATGTTGGTTATTTCTAAGTTTCCGATGATGTGTCAAATGGTGACCCTCAATTGGGCTTCTGAACTCCATAACTTCCCCAAATTTAATCCGATTCCAAAGTGGCATACCTCTAAAGACTTGTGATTCGATTCTCTGAAAATCTGCATTCAAAATTTTCATTTTAGCGTTGGTCGACTTTATGACCCATTTTCATGTTGGTTATTTCTAAGTTTCCGATGATGTGTCAAATGGTGACCCTCAATTGGGCTTCTGAACTCCATTACTTCCCCAAATTTAATCCGATTCCAAAGTGGCATACCTCTAAAGACTTGTGATTCGATTCTCTGAAAATCTGCATTCAAAATTTTCATTTTAGCGTTGGTCGACTTTTTTGACCCATTTTCATGTTGGTTATTTCTAAGTTTCCGATGATGTGTCAAATGGTGACCCTCAATTGGACTTCTGAACTCCATAACTTCCCCAAATTTAATCCGATTCCAAAGTGGCATACCTCTAAAGACTTGTGATTCGATTCTCTGAAAATCTGCATTCAAAATTTTCATTTAGCGTTGGACGACTTTTTGACCCATTTTCATGTTGGTTATTTCTAAGTTTCCGATGATGTGTCAAATGGTGACCCTCAATTGGACTACCGAACTCCATAACTTCCCCAAATTTAATCCGACTCCAAAGTGGCATACCTCTAAAGACTTGTGATTCGATTCACTGAAAATCTGCATTCAAAATTTTCATTTTAGCGTTGGTCGACTTTTTGACCCATTTTCATGTTGGTTATTTCTAAGTTTCCGATGATGTGTCAAATGGTGACCCTCAATTGGACTTCTGAACTCCATAACTTCCCCAAATTTAATCCGATTCCAAAGTGGAATACCTCTAAAGACTTGTGATTCGATTCTCTGAAAATCTGCATTCAAAATTTTCATTTTAGCGTTGGACGACTTTTTGACCCATTTTCATGTTGGTTATTTCTAAGTTTCTGATGATGTGTCAAATGGTGACCCTCAATTGGACTACCGAACTCCATAACTTCCCCAAATTTAATCCGATTCCAAAGTGGCATACCTCTAAAGACTTGTGATTCGATTCTCTGAAAATCTGCATTCAAAATTTTCATTTTAGCGTTGGTCGACTTTTTGACCCATTTTCATGTTGGTTATTTCTAAGTTTCCGATGATGTGTCAAAAGGTGACCCTCAATTGGACTTCTGAACTCCATAACTTTACCAAATATTATCCGATTTCAAAGTGGCATACCTCTAAAGACTTGTGATTCGATTCTCTGAAAATCTGCATTAAAAATTTTCATTTTAGCGTTGGTCGACTTTTTGACCCATTTTCATGTTGTTTATTTCTATGTTTCCAATGATGTGTCAAATGGTGACCCTCAATTGGAATTCTGAACTCCATAACTTCCCCAAATTTAATCCGATTCCAAAGTGGCATACCTCTAAAGACTTGTGATTCGATTCTCTGAAAATCTGCATTCAAAATTTTCATTTTAGCGTTGGTCCACTGTTTGACCCATTTTCATGTTGGTTATTTCTAAGTTTCCAATGATGTGTCAAATGGTGACCCTCAATTGGAATTCTGAACTCCATAACTTCCCCAAATTTAATCCGATTCCAAAGTGGCATACCTCTAAAGACTTGTGATTCGATTCTCTGAAAATCTGCATTCAAAATTTTCATTTTAGCGTTGGTCGACTTTTTGACCCATTTTTATGTTGGTTATTTCTAAGTTTCCGATGATGTGTCAAATGGTGACCCTCAATTGGACTTCTGAACTCCATAACTTCCCCAAATTAAATCCGATTCCAAAGTGGCATACCTCTAAGGACTTGTGATTCGATTCTCTGAAAATCTGCATTCAAAATTTTCATTTTAGCGTTGGTCGACTTTTTGACCCATTTTCATGTTGGTTATTTCTAAGTTTCCGATGATGTGTCAAATGGTGACCCTCAATTGGACTACCGAACTCCATAACTTCCCCAAATTTAATCCGATTCCAAAGTGGCATACCTCTAAAGACTTGTGATTCGATTCTCTGAAAATCTGCATTCAAAATTTTCATTTTAGCGTTGGTCGACTTTTTGACCCATTTTTATGTTGGTTATTTCTAAGTTTCCGATGATGTGTCAATTGGTGACCCTCAATTGGACTTCTGAACTCCATAACTTCCCCAAATTAAATCCGATTCCAAAGTGGCATACCTCTAAGGACTTGTGATTCGATTCTCTGAAAATCTGCATTCAAAATTTTCATTTTAGCGTTGGTCGACTTTTTGACCCATTTTCATGTTGGTTATTTCTAAGTTTCCGATGATGTGTCAATTGGTGACCCTCAATTGGACTTCTGAACTCCATAACTTCCCCAAATTAAATCCGATTCCAAAGTGGCATACCTCTAAGGACTTGTGATTCGATTCTCTGAAAATCTGCATTCAAAATTTTCATTTTAGCGTTGGTCGACTTTTTGACCCATTTTCATGTTGGTTATTTCTAAGTTTCCGATGATGTGTCAAATGGTGACCCTCAATTGGACTTCTGAACTCCATAACTTCCCCAAATTAAATCCGATTCCAAAGTGGCATACCTCTAAAGACTTGTGATTCGATTCTCTGAAAATCTGCATTCAAAATTTTCATTTTAGCGTTGGTCGACTTTTTGACCCATTTTCAAGTTGGTTATTTCTAAGTTTCCGATGATGTGTCAAATGGTGACCCTCAATTGGACTTCTGAACTCCATAACTTCCCCAAATTTAATCCGATTCCAAAGTGGCATACCTCTAAAGACTTGTGATTCAATTCTCTGAAAATCTGCATTCAAAATTTTCATTTTAGCGTTGGTCGACTTTTTGACCCATTTTCATGTTGGTTATTTATAAGTTTCCGATGATGTGTCAAATGGTGACCCTCAATTGGACTTCTGAACTCCATAACTTCCCCAAATTTAATCCGATTCCAAAGTGGCATACCTCTAAAGACTTGTGATTCGATTCTCTGAAAATCTGCATTCAAAATTTTCATTTTAGCGTTGGTCGACTTTTTGACCCATTTTTATGTTGGTTATTTCTAAGTTTCCGATAATGTGTCAAATGGTGACCCTCAATTGGACTTCTGAACTCCATAACTTCCCCAAATTTAATCCGATTCCAAAGTGGCATACCTCTAAAGACTTGTGATTCGATTCTCTGAAAATCTGCATTCAAAATTTTCATTTTAGCGTTGGTCGACTTTTTGACCCATTTTCATGTTGGTTATTTCTAAGTTTCCGATGATGTGTCAAATGGTGACCCTCAATTGGACTTCTGAACTCCATAACTTTACCAAATATTATCCGATTTCAAAGTGGTATACCTCTAAAGACTTGTGATTCGATTCTCTGAAAATCTGCATTCAAAATTTTTAATTTAACGTTGATCAAATTTTTGACCCAGAGTCCATAACTTTACCAAATTCAAGCTGATAATGCAGTGCAAAATCGACATAGCTTCATTTGTTTTAGTAATATAGGCATGCAAATTAAAATGTAGTCGTTTTGTAATAACTGCAAGGGTATATAAACTTCGGCTTGCCGAAGTGTGCTTCCTTTCTTGTTTTTATAGTTTTTTATGCCATTTAACTCATTTTGAGCGAAGTTATTTATTATTGTTAATTCGAAATTGTTTAGGTATTTTAGCTCTACCATTTTTCCCAGTCAAGTCTGCGATAATTTTTCATGACATTCATATGGCTTATTGGCTTTCCAACGATCAAATTTTGAAGATTGTTCCCACCAACTTGGTTATCCGCAATACTTTTTCATGCAATCTATATTAAGTTTATTGGCTTTCGTATGTGTGGACAAAAAAAAATAGTTAAGTACGGTGGCCATCTGTTCGGGCGATCACTTCCTGAGGTACTGCACCCGGCGGATGTTCTGGATGTTCTGGGCGAGGGACTGCAGGGGGCGTCTCCTGACCACTGGTCGTGGTCTCAGTCGCTGGCCGAGGATTCCGTAGCCCGTCGCCCCGCCTCCGCCGAGCTGGTGGCCCACATCCGGACCATGGCCCCCCACTTCCAGTTCGGGTGCCTGCTCCTCCTCCTCCTGCTCCTCCAGCCGATCGCCCTGCTCCCTGATGGCCGGCACAGGACCACCAGCGGCCAGGTGGCGGTACATCCGCAGCTGCATGGGCACATACCGCACCTCGTTGCCAATGGTGATGGGCACCAGGGGCACTCCGGGTATCCCGGGTATTCCGTTTAGTCCGGGCACTCCAAAGCCGCCATAGTGGCCCAGTTCCCCGCCGTAGAGGGATGCCTCGTCCCAGCCGAATAGCTCCGGATAGGACAGTGCCGATGGTGGGCCGTCGTCTTGGCGCTTCCGGAAGTACTGCATGGGATAGCCGATGGGCGCACGGATGAACTCCGAGGTTCGGGTGCCCGTGGTCGTGGTCGTCGCTGCCGGGACAGCTGTGGCATTGGTCACAATGTTGTTGGTGTTGGTGTTGTTCACACCACCGGATGCCGGGCTGGTGAACACGAACACGGTGGTGCCGCGGTTCAGGAACCGTCCCTCGTTCGCCACCCCTTCCCCTCTTCCCAGCGCACCCCCTCTTCCAAGCGCACCCCCTCTTCCACTCTGACTGCGCTGGACAAGCTGGGCGGGAGTCAGGCCGCTGGTCAGCAGGAGCACCTGCTGCAGTTCCTCCTGCTGTCTGTCCTCTGGTGGTGCCTCCAGGTTGACATAGAGGGTCCGTGGTTCGGGTATCTCCGAGGGGACTCCCTGATCCTGATCCTGATCCTGCTGCGGAAAGTCGAAGCCGCCGGCCAGGTCCTTCCAGGCGGCCAGTGGCCACACATAGGTGGTCGCCTGGCGCGGTGCTGTCCGGGATGGGATTGCGCCCAGAAGGACGACCAGGAGGAGCAGGCAGGTGTGAGACTTCTGTGGAGGCTGCATTTGGCTATGACCCGTGGTGAAAAACTGTGAGTGGACCAGAACGGCTGGCACACTTTTATAGCTCCAGTTTTTAAGGGGCGCCCCTAATGAGTCGCCATTTATCCGCCAGCTTATCACTGATTTTTCGCGATTAAGTCCATTAATCTCAGTTCGTTTCGACTTGTTCTCGACTCGCGGGCCATATCTTTTCTTGGCCTTCTTCGCGTTCTTTTACTTGGCTTATTAGTTTGCCAAAGAGCTGATGTTAATTACACGTGCCCCGGATAAGGAAAATTAATGGGGCAAGTGGAGCCTTTCTCCAGCAGGCAGATTATTCAATAAGTTTTGGGCTTATTTATACATACACACTTTGCTGAACACAAAAAGCAACAGTTGTGCAAAGCGATAAAAGAATGGAAATGACAAAAATGATCTAGATCTGCAGCTTAGGAAATGTACTGTCTAAGTACTAAAACTACACATACCCTTTAAATAATTAAACTAATAAATTGTTCAACTCTTTTTTTCGGGAATCAAATGTTATGTTGTTTCGTTATAGGCATACATATTAAGCAGAATAAAACTCACGCAGGCCAAAAGCCAAAAATTATTGTTGAATATAAGAATTTATAATTCACAAAGTTTTCAAAAACAAAACGAATGCAAGGAGCGATTGCATATACTTTAAGTATATCTAATAATCAATTTTACTCGTTGAATTTCCCAAGGTTCAGCACATGTGATTTTATGATCCGAATAATCATTGGATTCTTGATTCTGGAAATCCCAGTAGAAAAAGTCTATCAATTTTTGGGGCACATACCAGAGAGAGTCAGTTAAAAATATCCGAAGGTCAAATCAAAAGCAAAGAAGATATTTTAAAGGTGAAAGAGGAGCACCTTAAAAATAGAGATAAAAAAATCTCTGACCTTAGAACGCAAATTAATGCGATTGAGAAAACGAAATCAGAACTATCTACTTAGCTTTCTGAATTGCAGAAAACTTATGACATCTTACCTGACTCTTGTCCTAATGGCAGTACCAATTTCGTTTTCCAAATTAAGGTTCCGGATCTTGAACCCTTTAAAGAGTTTTGACTATAAATGTACATTTTTATCTTACGATTATTATTGGATTATATCTAATAGGAACTTAACCCAGTAAGTAAGGAAATAAAACATGAATGCATTTATCTGTCTGTTTATATTCAATTGAATAGTATTTGTTTTCATTGGATAGGTTTAGCAAAAGTATTAAATCTTCCTCGTTTTCTCCGCTTTGGCAGTGTGGCTCAAAGTGGCTGGCCATATGAGCAATATGCATTATATAGTGCATATTCCGGTGAGTTCCTCGTGTCCGCTTTCATTTTGCTTGATGCAAGGCAAATAAATATTCTGTTGCACTTATTTTTCGGGCATTTTCATGCTTGCAATAACTTGGCACCTCGCCCCATCTCTTTCGCGCCGTCACTAGTCGTCTCTTTCTTTTAGTTGGTTGTCTGTCTCTTTCGGTTTGTTTGCGGCCGTGTGTTTGTGTTTGGCCCAATGTGTCAAAGTCAACTTGGTAAAAAGTTTCCTTTTTATTATTTTGTTGGCACTTTTTGAACTGCTTTTGGGCTGCATCTATTTCGTTTTTTGTTGTTTGAATTTTCCATTTCTTCTTATTTTCTGTCTCTTACCTACTTTTCATTTGCTTCTTGTGCTGTTTTTTCTTGGCCAACTATTGCTTCTTCTTGGCCAGATGCTCTAGATATTTTAAGGGCAGTGAAAAATATTTGAGCGTTGCACAAAAAAATTAAATATAAAAAGGAAGTGCCACTTAATGCAGTGAACTATAAGAAAGAGTAATGTATATTATTGGGCAATTAACCGAAGCTTGCATTACTAAATAAATAATTAATTATTTAATGTTAAGGTATTTGAAATCCTACAAATAATAGTTCCCGATTTTGTGTTCAATCTTCTGAGAAAGCCTTGTATATATAATTTATGTAATGGGGCAGTAGTGGGTTAAGCATCCTAGACTATGGTGAGTTGAAAATGTAAGGCCATAAGGCGATTTTAGCGATTTTACTTTTGCCCAACGGCTTTTTTCCGGCAATAAAAATGTAAGTCGATTTTATGTAGCAGGTTTTTAGGATGCTTTTTAAGCGGGCTTAAGGGGGTTTTTCAGGGGGTTTCAGCCAAGAACTCTTTGCGAAGTTGCAGTTGCTTTTTCAAATTTTTTTATTTCCCAAAATTACACGCAAAGTTTCATTTCTCAGGCGATTTTGTTGTCTAAGGTCTGCGAGTCATACGAAAGAGATAGCGAGAGTCAGATGGAAAGGGACAGACATAAAAAGAGCGCAAGAGGGAAAGGGGGCTAAACTGCTCAGAGTTAATGGCATCGTCAAAAAATTGGAAAGGTTTATTTAAATTTCAACTTGTTTCGAAAACGTTTAAAAAGTTTTGCGCTACTAACTGACTGCTGATAACACAGAAGTCTCCCCCCTCCACCACCCTTTCCCGCCCTTTTTCCACCCCCTTAACCCACTTATTTTCCGGCTTCTTTGGCAGCAAAGAAAACTCCCCCACTCCATTTTCCTGTCCTGAGGCCAAGTTAAAACAACTGACAAAAAGTTGTTGCCTCCGAGTGGCAACGAATCAAAGGGGAAATCGGGAAATGGAAAAGCTGGGCCAAAAGCAGGGGCTGGGAAACCAGAGGGAAGCCGTGACAAAATTAGCACGAAATATTTTATTTCTGAGCCAGACAAGTTGGCAATGAAATAAAGGATTCCACAGCGATGGCAAATAAATAGGGATTTTTTTAAATGTATATAAGAATGTTCTTAATAGAATAATTAAGAATACAGATTAAAGAATTTTAAATATTTTTTATTGCGATTCATAAGACAAACCAAAATCATGAACTGTGTTCCATTATTAATTGAAATATTGTTTTAATTCAAACATATTTTATAATAAATATTTATATTATATTTAAATACTTATAAGTAAATTATGAAAATTATCAATGAATGGGTATAATCAAATGTAAATAGAGACTATTTTTTTTACAATCATTATTTTACATTTCAAAACTGTTCTACAAATTTAACAAGTTTATAATAGGATTTTGCTTTAAAAGGAAAATCTTGCAAAAATGTCTTTGCATTAATAAAAGTATATGCTATTTTAAGACGTCTCACTGCCCTTTTGGTGGTTTCTCTCTGTATATTTGGCCTTTCACTTTCATCTCTGGCTTTCCCCCTTTTTCCCCGTTTTCACCACCCCCCTCCCTCGCTTTTTCTGGCTCGCCAATGAATCTGTCAGTTTTTCAAATATCCCCAATGCCATTGTGCAAAGTTTCGAGTGGCAGCCACTAATATTGACAGCGCACAAATGTAGAACAAGGGGGTGGTGCTGCCGCGGGGGTGGTGGTGCCCCGGTGGGTGGTGCTTCGGGTGGTGGTGCTGGGGAAACGTGCCTGAGCACGTCTTCTACTTAACTTTGTTAAACACAAATCCTTTGGGCAAAGAGTTGCTCCGTCCTTCTCTTTGGGCCACCCACACGCATTAGTGGGCGGTGGGTGGTGGTTCTGATTGTGGGTGGAGGTGGGTGGGCAGTGCCCAGGGGGGCGGGGTCGGCGGACAGACCAGCAGACATAATCGCATAAAGATAAAACAGTTTAACAGTCGCAATGAACAAAAGCAACTGATGGTTTTTGGCCGCGAGAGGACAAGACAAAACCATTCAATTGACCTCCTGCTGATTTCCAAGGGCGGTAACGGGCGAGGGGGCGTGGCTTTGGATGGGCGCCTGGTGGGGCCAAAAAACGTAGACCATTCAAACAAAGATGGCCAACGGCGCTCGTCGCGAAAAAATCTGTCAATTATTTAAATCGCCCGGCAAAAATCTTTGCCAGGTTTTCAGTTCAGCAGGGAAAGCCCTCGGGGTGGTCCCAAAAATGGTTATTTATACCATTGTGTGTATAATGAAGGGGCACTGCAGAACATATTTGCATTTAAGTACACTTATAGGTAAAATTGTCTCTCATTTAATGTTTAATTTATGCATAAAGCAGTCGCTCTTAAAAGGTAAGAAAATAAACCTTTGTAATCTTCTTATAAAATAATAATTACCACATTTTATAGTTTATTTTTAATGTTTAAAGTGTACAATATAAGCCCTTTACCAGACATTTCACTGGATAGGCAACCCTGGTCCAGGCTTCTTGGTCAAAAGTCTAAGAGAGGAATCGAAATCGAAACCAAAACCGAAAGCGGCAAAACGCGAAATACGAAATGCGCGCAAATTAAAATAATAAATCCGCCAAATTAAACACGGAACTCGTTAAGGCCGGGCTGTCCGCGGGATAGAAGATGCTTTTGTATCCTGCTGATGGCGGCTTCTTTTGACGTCGTCATTAGCAGCATTTACACGTCGCTCAGGGATAATAAGTAACCGGGCCAAGTGCGAAAATAAGGAAAGCGGAAGAGCGGAGGCAGACGCCTGGGAGGACTGACACAAATTAAACTGAAATTAGTTGCAACTCACTTTGCCCCATCTGCTGGCAAATGGAGGGGGGTCAACCCTGGCTGCTTCCCTTTTACTTTTCCCATTGTCGAGCACCGAAAAATAAGAGCGAAGCGGAAGGACCCGATGACTTGGCTAATGAGAAATGTCTGTTGGGGGAAGCTAGGAAAAAATGCAACAATACGCACTCATACATCGTGATGGCAACCCTATCTAGCAGCGATCGGTCATTTGGCCAGAGTTGCCTACGCATACGTATTGTAGGTTTTCTTTTGCCAATATAATAATTTCAATCTAATATACAATTGTAATCGGTCTAACATGTTTATTTTAAATGTCTCCAAAAAACTTTTGTTCTTAAAATAATTAAATTGATAACAAAAAGCCTTCTGGAACTTAATAATTTAAAGTTCTATTTTGAAAAGAAATATAGAGACATATAAAGTATGGATGTAATTTGAATTATTTAAAGTTCTTGATTGGAGTTCTTTAATCTTTTTATGGGCTCCGTTATTACGGATTATATTTAAATGCTGAGCCCAGATTGTGCTGTCTGAAAGTAAAACTAAATAAGTGATTTTCGCCTTGAAGAAAATGCTTATCCAAATTTCTCCTGACAACTTCTTGATTGACCAACAGGAGGCGCCACACGCGCCTGATCGATGTTAATTGACCGAAAATTGTTTTTGCCGTTGACCGCGACGACGCGGGACTTTAATGTCTTCTGAAGTCGCCGTTTATGACTTGGCCATTGTCCTCGAACACCGCAAGCCCCCTCCCCCCTATCCCCCCGAAATACACCCCCGCCCCCCCTGCGGCGGCTGTTGCTGCTGTTGATGTTGCTGCTGCAGCAACGGCAGTTACTGCAGTTGCAGCTGCGGTTCGTTCGCTCAACTGCCACAGTCAGCGATAAAACCACAAAACAGCAACAGCCATAAGGAGGGGGTGGGTGAAGGGGGCGGAGGGCGGATGGGGGCGTGGCGGTGAGGCGGTGAGGACAGGGGCGTGCGAGAACAATGAGGTGATAAACTTGCAGGCTCAACGCATGACAACGATACCCACCAACAGCAGCAACAACGGCGGCGACAACGTCACATTTTGATGGCTCCTTGGAGAGATGGCAGCCCTCTGCTTAAAGACAGGTACACTCAGAAAATTTAGTAAGCACATAGATAATTTTAACCCTTTTTTGAGATCATTGCATTCTGGGATTATCAAACTTTCCACCAAGAACCATACAAATTAGGCCAGATGATTAAAAATAAGAAGTTAAATATATTTTATTCGCCGATAAACTTGTTTGCCTTAAGAAAACTTTAAGAAGGTAAAAAGATTTATTACCGAAATTGTGTTAATTCGAGAATGCGCAATATCCAAAAATGTATTGTGATACTTTGATTATTTTAGGAAGTAAAATATTGTTTCTTTAATAGAAATTGTTGTCATTTGATCAAAAATGACTTCTAATAAATGTCCAAAAAAAGGTTCAGTTGTGAGAGGGTGGTTTCTGAATTTCAAAAATGTCACAACACTTTATCTCTCAGTGAATATAAGCAAGCCGGCAAGTGCAGCCATCCTTTCTACGCTCGCTGTGTGCATGCAAACAACAAAGGAAAATCAGCAATAGCAGTTGGTTGGGGGCGATGTCATAGTCCGCTCCCTAACCGCCACCCTTACCTCCCCCCTCCCCTACAGTCCCTCTTAACAATTCCTTAACCCCCCACCCCCTCGTTTTGTGTACTGTATTTTTTTTCGCTGCTGCTCTTTAACGTGTTTCAAAAGAAAGTTGGTTGACTTTTGAATGACTTTCTTGGCGCGCTTGGCTCGCAGCACTCTTGTCCCCTCCCTCCCCCTAGCACAACCCCCCCTACAGCCACGCCCCCAACGCCCCCGTGTTGTTGTTTGTTTTATGTGTTAAGTGCGCTGGGCCCAAGCGCGCAAATTTCTTCGTGTAACTGATGCTGACGTTGACATCGCAGCCCCAAGCGACCCCACAATTTTTACCCTCCGAAAAACCCCATATAAATATATATATATATATATATATATACGCTATATATATCTGAATGCAGCGGGGTGTGTGTGCACAGTCGAGTCGAAAATCTAGTTACAATTAAAGTGACAAGCTGGCAACGCCGAAAACAAAGTCGCTACCAAATTCAAACAAATTGCATTCGCTTTGATCGTGCTCAGGCGAGAGTGATTAAAAAAAGGGACAATGGAGGGTGGATTTGGGAAGCTGGATAACAGGGGTTAAATACTAGCTGCTGTTAGTGGCAGTGCTGAATTTAAATTGGCTTGAGGAGTCCTCAGAATGATCCAAAAACGATAAGAAACCGGGATGACCGGCTAAATGCCGATATGGGAAATTAAATTACATGGTGTAAGAATAGGTTGGTCTAAAATACATTCAAAATATATGATGAAGAATATACCAAATTTATTAGCCAAGCAAGGACATGTTTTAAGGATCGATTTGTTCAAACTGTAAGGACTAAATAACAACTAATGACCTAAGATGACCCAGTGCTTTTGGGCATAATATAATAGTTGAAAATGGGATGAAAGTAGGCAGCCTAGTTTTAGTAATTAAAAGCTAGAAATTCGAGTTGCAATTTTTTGGATTTTGGACATCAGAAACCTATTTTTAAAAAGTAATTTTTAAAGGGTTTATTTTACATTGCCGAAATACGACGCACAGTCAAAGGAATGACTGTTTTGTGCAACTGAGAACCTATACAATCTATTTCAGGTCGATTTGGTAATATGTTTTTTTTTTCGGTATACCACGTATTTAAAAATTTTATGACCAGTTCAACGAGGTATAAGATTTTAACTTTTAAAAGTTTGTTTTTCCTTTTAATTGTTTTTTTTACTTACTTGGTCAAAATAAGACCACAAGACTTATAACTCATCTTTCCATTTTATAATTGGATCTAAATTGTGTTCTCGAAGTCTTGGATCTTCTAGAAACCCCGTATTTTAGTTTCAGTAAGTTTAAAGTATTATTCTTGCTTAAGCTGGCCATTCTACCCGTCTCTCTCTAAACCCCCGCTGGCCGTCTCTTTCTTTTCCTGGCCGTGGACTGCACTTGTTTTAATTACTGCCCCGTGTTGATTCCCCAGGACCAAAAAGACCAACTCAAAGTGAATTTTCCATTTGGGCTTTCGTTTGTTTGTTGCTTTCGTTTGTTGTAGCTTTATTCGGTTGTACGGTAGGGGGGCTGTGGGTCGGGAGGGGCTCAGAGGTCGTAGGTTAACCCTTAACCCATGCCAGCTGGCCTTCCTTAACCCATTCAGTTATTGCCGTCGCGAAGGCGTCGTCGCTGTTGCTGCTGCTGTCGATTGAAGTTGCTGTTGGGTCGGCGACGTCGCTGTTGCTGTCGGCGATTTTGCTGCTGTCGCTGGTTGTTGTTGTTGTTGTTGATACGTCTCCTGTTCTGGTTGTTGTTGTTGTTGTTGGGGCGACGACGTCTCTGCTGCTGGCGGTTCCTGTTGTTGTTGCCGTTGCGGTTGCGACGACGTCGCAGGCCGTTGTTGTTGCCATTGCCATTGCCATTGCGGCGACGTTGCTGCAACTTCTGTTGCTGCTGGCGACGGCGACGCTGCTGCTGCAGCCGCTGCTGCTGTTGCTGTTGCTGCGGGCGACGGCGACGCCGGCGATTGTTCTGCTGACCCCTGGGATGGTTGGGTCGCTGCTGCTCGAGGTCCTCCGACTGATCCAGATCCTGGTCCTGGTCCTGCTCCTGATTCGCCTCCTCAACCTTGTCCCCGACCTGCTGCTCCTGCTGCTCCTGCGACTGTTGCTCGCTTTCCGACTGATTCTTTTCGGTGGTGACCTCGACGGCCTCCTCCTTGAGCGGCTTCACGTCGCCCACCCGCACGTTCTTCACCTGGTCGCAGGGCACATCGCTGTAGATCACCACATTGCCGTAGTTGCACACGATCTGATCCGCCTGGCGACCCTCGATGGAGCCAATGGCGCCCCGCTTGTCCTCGATCTCATAGATGTTGCCCGACTTGGTGATGAACCCGGTGACCTGCAGCGGCTTGCTGCCATTCGTTTTGGCCTCCGGCAGATGTACCTTCTTCGGCGGGGCATTCACTATCATGGGTTTCGTGGGCTTCGCCTCCATTTTTGGCGGGGCACTCGTGGAGCTCGTTAGCGGCGCCACCGTTTGACCTTTGGCATGCCAGGAACAAAAAATACACGAAAACGGAAAAAAAAGGGGACACATTTATTAAACTTTCGAGCTACCAGAGTCGATGGCAAAAAAATTTACCGCTCACCAGCGAAAGGTCGCTGGAAAGGGCCGTGGCCCAAAACAGGACCAGGATCATCCCGAATCCCTTGCCGCACATCATCTTAGCTCTTGTTGGCTTCTCGATCGACTGAATCGCTTTCCGGATCGCGATCCCGGGTTATATCAACTCTCTGGCTAACGGCTTTTCGACCAAGATCTTTCCTCGGCCTCTTTCGTCGTGGGATTTTTGCATAATTAACTTCGCGGGTTCAAAGCGTGTCATCTGGAGAATGGGCCAGGGGCGACCCAATTCGCCAGGGAATGCACTGCTCAAAAATATTGCCCTTCATTAAGCTTTGCATTTCTGTTGGAAGAATTCAGACATATTACCCCAAATTTATTGAAACATTTATGGCCATTCAATTTTGCCTAGCTTCCGTTTGTTAAAAACGATAGTAATTATGATTTTCTTACATGATAAAATGAGTTTTTAAACAATTTCAAAGGGTTACATTATGGGAATTCATAACATACAATTTGTTTAAAAATCTTTAATGCTACATATGCCTAAGATAATAGAATTTATTTTCAGTGGACTAGTGCCAATCCCATACTGTCCGCCATCCCCTTCTCATCGAGCAGAGTTCAATGGCTCAAACTAATTAGCATTCATATTTCTTCTTCGATTTTCGCTGCTGTCCAAAAATTCTCGTCTCTTTGCGCTTGATTTTCTCACATGTTGATTATGCAAATTGCTTTCTTGGCCAGCAGCTCGCGTTTTCAAATTGACCTCAAGCCAAACGAGGTTCAAATATGCAGAACAAAATCTGAAACGTGTTTACTCGAAGATCTACGCTGGTCCAATTAAATTTGTAATTTAATGTTAGGCTGGAAAGTTGTGTTATTTCTAAATTATTGTTTATCAATTCGAATTGCCCTTGTACAAGTTGCTGTAACTGCGTAAAACTTGTTGGGCACCAAAACGGGTTTGAATTTTCGATTCTATTTTTGGTTGAGCTTAGCGGAAATATTTAAGAAGTAAATAATAAATCAAATACTTGTTTGCCATGGTGGTATTCTTAGCGCGGATTGTGTACTTTTATTAAATAGAACATAATAATAAATCGACTGCATCAGCAAAAAGAAACCGAAAATAATAAACTAAACTTATGGGAAATAGTTAATACTAAAAAAAAACTTTCACCTCCCACAGATTGTAAACCAGAAACCTATTCACGTTTCGAATGATTTTGTTGACGTATGCAGTGCTAATGTACAAACAAATAATACTGAATTTGATTACAAATCAAATATGTTTGCACTTTCTACTAGTTTTGCTTGATTTGCTGGCTTTGAAAAGGAAAAAAATTGAAAAGCCACAAAGTTGGCTAGCTTTATTCGAATTTTGCAGAAAGCTACTACTTTTTTACGTTCTCTACCCTAATTTTTATACACATATATCTATATATATATATCATAATCTAGCGCAAGTTATGCTTGTAACCAGATATATAATTCTAATAAATGAAATGGTTTGGTTTCAAACTCAACCCATCATTTTATCATACTTGATAAATTATAATCATTCTTGACATTTTCATAACGTAACTCCCAATATAGTTGAACTTTTTAATATAATAACCTTTTTATTAGTTTAATTTTTGTTTCAAAAAAAAAAGTACACTAAAAAGAAAAACATTGGTTTTTAAATATGGAGATGCTGGCTCTAGTTCTTCTGCTTCTGGTTGTAGTTCCGCAGGGCATCGGCCAATTCGGATAGGGCCGATTTCTGGGCCTGCTCCTGCTTGCGCTCCTGCTGCTTCCTCAACTGCTTGCACAGTTTCTTCAACTGCTTGCGCTCTTTCTTCGCCGACTTTTTCTCACCACTGTCGTCTTCTTCAGAAGAGGACGACCCACCGCGCTTCTTCCGGCGGCTCAGCTCGGCACATTGTTGCAGCAGTTTGGCGGCCTCATCGTCGGGTTTTGGAGTAGTTGTGGTGGTGGTGGTGGTGGTGCTGGGAGTGGTGCTAGGAGTGGTGCTAGGAGTGGTGCTAGGAGTGGTACTGGGGGTGGTGCTAGGAGTAGTGCTAGGAGTGGTACTGGGGGTGGTGCTGCTAGTGGTAGTACTGGCAGTTGTGGACTCCGATTTGGGTTTCTCCGTTGTGGTAGTCGTAGTTGTGGTGGTTGTGGTGGACTCCTCGGGCTTGGGCGTGGTGGTGGTGGTGGTGGTGGTGGTGGTGCTGGTCGTGGTTGAGGAGGTGGTGGTGCTGCTGTCCTGCGGTCGGGCCAGAATCGTGGAGCAGGTGGCCAGCAGCAGCAGGCCGAGTAACAAGGTGGCAGCTCGCATTTTCGTCTGATTGGATTTCCCTCGGCACGACAACTAAATGGAGATCATCGCTGGGCGTTTGCTTATATAGACGGCAATTAGCGGTTGCCAGACCCCCTCGCACCCCTCTACAAATGGGGGGCGTCGCGATACGACTGGTTTTTCGGCTGGCGTCTAGAAAAACGTCTATAAATTGTCATTATACATTGAAATTTTTTTTTCAAACATTTCTTTAGTTTTCGGGGGTTTTTTTGGGCACCCTACACAACAAGTCGCAAGGTCTATTGATATCTTATAAAATTTTCAAATTGGTTTTTACTGTGCTGTGTAGATTGTTCATTCTTAAATTGTACCTTTTATACATCTTGATAAATAAAATTATTTGATTTTATTGTATTATTTCTTATTTTGTTTTATTATCAATAGGTTGATTAATCTATTTTGCATTTTATTATTATTTATAGATATAGTTTTATTTATAATAAATAGTTTTATTATAAAATTTTTTTTAGTATAAATTGTTGAACTTAATCGACTAATCGATAATAAGCGTTTCTTTTAATAAAGGGCATCAAACTGAACAATATACAATACGTACCGAGACGGTGTCCAAAAATAGTGTCAATAATCATATGTTTTTTTGTGTGTGTGATTTGCGCTGGTCATTAGCGTATTCTGAGAACTTTCTGGTTTCATAAACAAATTATTTTCGCCTTATCAAGCATTTATATGTTGTACATGGGCTTCACATGCTTATTATATTTTTATTTTCAATACCCTAACTGGGGGTAGTAATAATGTATAATGTATAATAATAATATATAATGTACTTTTTGTTTTAACGATCATGTTGTCATGCGTTCGTTTATTTTCAGATTTGAAGTAGTTTTTTTTTTACTTTTTATAAACATAGATTAAGTCAGCCTATTAAAATAAAATATATATATTCAGAGTATAACTGACTGCGATCTTGTTTTCTTGGGTTTCGTTACGATTTTCCCTTGTTTATACGTTTGCATATGTGAATAAACCTTTTTTTTTTTGCATTGCGGCTCGCTCATAATGCCGCTAATTGTTTATCAATTACACTTGTTAATTGTTTAATGCGACTGCAAAGTGACGTCCGGAGTTGAGGATCGTGAATTGGGGTTGTGAAGGGCGAAAGTGCGAAAGGGGAATGGTGAAAGGGGAAAGGGGAAAGGAGGGCAGGGTCAGAGGTCGGGGGCTATCGTACAAATTGCTACATTTATCCGCACACCTGATGCCCCAACGTCGCCGATTACTTGCTCATTTTTTGCTCGCCGTTTTATTTTTTGTCTGTTTGCAATTTGTACAAGTAATTGAATAAAAAACGTGCAGCAAAAAACAAGTAATTAAAAAAGGACCCGGCAAAGGAGCGTGGGAAGGCTCTGAGGGGGTGGTGGTGGTGCTGGTGGCTGGTGGGTGGTGGGTGGCCTTCGGCGGGTGGACCTCGGTGGGTGGGATCAGCGGCCACCGCGTAATCCATATGCAGCAATTTAAATGCAACAGAGAGAATATGTTAATTGCGTGTGAAACCGCTGCGCGGAGTCTCATCGCCACTTGCTATATTTGCTTTTATTTATTACTTATTATAATTATAATTTATTTGCACTCGTATTTGTTTTATTGAGCTCCTTCAGCTTTTTCGGTTATTTGTATTTCATTAGTTGCATTTTATTTTATTCGCTTTGCTTATGCCAAACAAATAAACTACTGCAAATAGTTTTAATACAATTATAATGCTTTTCATTTAAATATAAGATGAAGAAAAACATATAGGAATATTATACGGAATAAAAACAGCAAATATATTAATTAAATGAATACTTAAAGACTCATAGAATTTTTTAGAAAATCTAAATGTATATATACAAGTTTCTTGTTTATTTAATTAAAACTATATAGAATGATATTGTGAAAAGCTGCATTTATTTAGCAATAACATATTTTAGCCCTCTTGTTTAAAGTTAGCTAAATATTTAAATGTGCACTTTTAATACTGTGATGATTATTAGTTGCACGTCAATAATATGGTGTTGTCCACTTAAGAATCTCAAAATTTTGCTACTGCCGTTTGTTAGGGAAACTTGACAGCTTGGATATCTGATCCCAAGACCCAAATTCCAGGAACTCGAAAGTTCCATAACCATTCAAGTACTGGACAATTACAAAGTCTAACTTTGACTACAGTCAGTGAGGATTTCATTCCGGGAACTTGCAGGATAGCTCCTCCTCGGATTCCGTCATCGCTTGTTGTGGCCCCATTCCTGTCACTTAATGTGCTCCCCCATGGCTTCCCGCCAATGGCCCAACTACTTGCAGATGGATCCCCTTCACTGGCCAGAAATTGTCATCATAAGCGCTGCAATAATGAGGAGCAGCAGGCAGCAGGAACTGGCAGCCAAGTTGACCCAAACGAAGCCAAGTTGCAAAAGTCTCCAAGTCAAGTGCATTTGCAACTTAAGCTCGCCCCCTGTTCCTCTGTCACCCGTTACCTTTTGGCTCAATGCAAACTTTCGCATATTTCGTCGTTTTTGGGCCAGGCAAAATATCACGCATACGCAGATTGCGCATACGCCCTGTGCAACTGCTCAAGTGCGCTGCAAATCGCTGAATGCGGCGAGTCCCAAAATCCGAGACCCAGTTGGGTCACGTCCCAAAACGGGGTCTAAAACCTTTAGAACACCCCGACGAAGGAAAGCCGAGCGGAAAGTCCGAAGGACGATTGGCAGGACGAGCGCAGGCGCCGGCAGAGGCAGCGACGTCGGCAGAGGAAAGCTTAACAGCGCCCTAACAGAGTGGGAACAGTTTTTCCCCACGGCCCACAGCAAAGACAATCAAAGGGTGCACCCCTGTCTTTTCCTTCCATTCGGCGATGCGTGTGGCATGTTCAACAGCCCTTGATGATGCAACAAAAAAAAAAGGTTGAAAATAAGGATAACACTGCATCTTCATGTGATTTTCTTCCGAACATACTACCGCCCCACTCCCCTGCAAAGTGCCAAATGCATTTCAATTGCTTGCAGTTCTCGTTGCACTTCATTAAACTCACTGTCGAAACTCGACAGGCAACAAAAGGGTGGTGTTTTTGGGGGTGTGTAGTGCGGCCACGTGACCTTCACACAGCCACATGTACGCGGGTGCGGGGTGGGTCATCACGTAGTCCCAGGATGAACACAAACAAACGAGATTTTTCTGTCTTGTTTCTCTAAAATTATTTTTGGACAAACATGACCATAAAAAACACTAATTATTGGCGAGGGTGTTTCTTGCGAATAATATTAACTTTGAAACCGTATGTAACAAACTGGTATGATTGCAATAAAAACAATTTAATTTTGGCTAAGTAAGAAAAAAAAACTTTGAAAGTGTGCCTTTAAAAATAAATTTGACCAAATCAACCTGGAATTAATTGTATAGGTTCTCAGCAGCAAAAATTAATTCTTTTGGCTGTGCGTCTTATTTCGGTAAAGTTACAAAAGAAACCCTTAAAAATGTGTGTTTTAAAAATATGTTTTTGATGGCCGAAATCTGAAAAAATGCGACTCGACTTTCGGTTTTTTGATTCAATCCCGAAAAAATAATGATCTCAATCTTGTCGTGTCATACTTCGTTGAATTCGTAACAAAATTGCCAATCCATTGGTAGTCTCAGCTAAAAAATTTTATTTTGGGCATTTGGGAATTGATTGTATAGGTTATCAGCTGCTCAAAACATTCATTCTTTTGGCTGTTTTGGCAAATAAAAAACCATTAAAACTGTGTTTTTAAACATATGAACTATGCAACTATCAAGCTGTTTTTTGGTTTCTAAATAAGTAAAAAAAAATAAAGCGCAAGTAAGCGATAAGAACATAATATGTTATGTTATGCTAGTCCATACAAATGTATACATATTAGGCGATCTGGTTTCTTGCGATTTTTGGAGGAAGAGAGAGATTAGGAAGGCCACGTGCCATACATCCGGAATATGAATGTTCACGGGGCTTATCAGCAATTTTTTAGGCTTCGTTGCTTCTTCAACTTATAGCTACATTTCAGTTCACTTTTTAAATTCGATTTGAGTAGATGGAACATCTTAAGATGCTGAGACTGTTATCCTATTTGCTTGGCTTATTCATTTTTCCAAGTGTTCAAGGAGGAAATGAGTTCCATTCAAAGGATGAGTCGTTGTGCGTTCTCAAAGATGCACCTCAACAGTGTGGCTCCTTTTGCCTGGCCGCACTCAACCCGATATTCGACGATACTGATAGTATGCGAATGACGTTGGATGAAATCAAGGCAGGGCAGTCAGCTCTTAATGCTAGGATGACCACGTTGCAAGGACAAGAGGATCTGCAGGCCGGACTCGATTCGAGATTCAAGCTGGCGGAAGAACAACATATGGCGGTAAACTCCGAAATGAAGAACCAATTGCAGGAACTTGGAAGAAGAGTAAGCAGGACCACCACAAAAACAGAATTCGCCAATTCCATTAAGGCTTTGCAGACCAAGCTGGATGCGAGATTGAACAGAATGGAGGAACTTATGAAGGTGAGTTACTGATAGCAGACTTACAGACAGACATTCAGACTGACAGACAAATAGAAATCTTAGAAATCCCATCGAAATTGCTTATCTCTGTTTAGAGGTAAATTTAATGTATAACAAGAAAGGAAAGCTAACTTCGGGCGGAGCCGAAGTTGATATACCCTTGCAGAATATTCTGTAAATTATATTCTCCAAAACCGGATTGGTTATTCATATGATGCATTCTTAATACTCATAAAAAATCCCAACTTCCTAACTTTAAAAACACCAAAGTTATGGCATTTCCAATCGTTCAGTTATATGGCAGCTATAGGATATAGTCGGCCGATCCTTATGAAATTTGATAGGTTGGATTGATTGGCTAAAAATAAACCCCATAGAAAATTCCAACTTCCTAACTTAACAAAAACCAAAGTTATGGCATTTCCGATCAATCAGTTCTATGGCGGCTATAGGATATAGTCGGCCGATCCCGGCCGTTCCGACATATATACTGCGTGCAAAGGAAAGAAGGGTGTGTGCAAAGTTTCAATTCGATAGCTTTAAAACTGAGAGACTAGTTTGCGTAGAAACAGACAGACAGACAGACGGACAGACGGACAGACGGACAGACAGACGGACAGACGGACATGGCTATATCAACTCAGGAGGTGATCCTGATAAAGAATATATATACTTTATAGGGTCGGAGATGTCTCCTTCACTGCGTTGCACACTTTTGACCAAAATTATAATACCCTCTGCAAGGGTATAAAAAACACAATAATAACAGTTTTTTAGAAAATTAGTTAGTTCAGTTTCTTTTGAATCGACTCTGACAACGTTATCAATACTTTCTTTTGTAAGCTAAATTAAGATTTATTGCAGTAACCAACTAATTTAAATATTGCAAACGAATGCAATGATTATTATTTTATCGCCTATTTTAAATTATTTTGTACAGATGAAAATAACAGCCAATGCCAACGATGAACTTAAAACCCAAGTCAATTCTTTGAAAGATACAATAAAAGACTTGCAAAGTCAGTTAAAAATATCCGAAGGTCAAATCAAAAGCAAAGAAGATATTTTAAAAGTGAAAGAGGAGGACCTTAAAAATAGAGATGAACAAATCTCGACCCTTACGACTCAAATAAAAGCTATTGAGAAAACAAAATCAGAACTATCTATTCAGTTTTCTGAATTGCATAAATATTACGACATTTTATCTGACTCCTGTCCCAATGGCAGTCCCAATGGGATTTACCAAATAAAGCTTCCGAGTCTTGAACCCTTTGAAGTGCCATGTGCGACGTCTCCACGTGGTTGGACTGTAATTCAGAGACGCATTGACGGATCCGAGAACTTCGAGAGAAACTGGCATGATTATAAATCTGGATTTGGGAATGTCAGGGGAGAATTCTTCATCGGGCTGGAAAAATTGCATCGGATGACTGAGGCACGACCCCACGAACTCTACATCAAACTTGGGATGGTTGACGGATCCACCAGCTACGCTCAGTATGATGACTTTAAGATTGGGAGTGAGGAGGAAGGCTACGAGTTGAAGAATCTAGGGAAATATTCTGGTGAAGCTGGAGACTCACTCACAGAAAATGAGCACCAAAAGTTCTCCACATTTGATCGGGATAATACTATCAATGCTTTCAATTGTGCCTCTAGATATGGTGCATGGTGGCACAATGCCTGTTCATTCAGGTATACCTGTTTATTTATGCTCTTATTAAATCTTCTTACTATAATCACTTTAAATTACAGTTCGCTCAATGGAGAATACTTCAAAGATGGCAAAGGATATTACGGAATTCTTTGGTACTCATGGCATAAAGATTGGTCTGAATCACTTACCTTTGTCGAAGTGATGATAAGGCCCAAGTCCTTATAAGTCGCACTGTTTGAGTATGAAATATTTGAATATAAATAAAAACAAGAGAGAACGCTATAGTCGGGTGCCCCGACTATCAGATACCCGTTACTCAGGTAAAGGGAGTGCGAGGGAGATGGAGATAGAAACTTTGATCACGCATAACTTTTTAACGAATGGTCCGATTTGAAAAATTTCTTCTACATTTCGATAGGTATTGATAAACACAATAAAACTGCATTTTTACTTTTCCGAAATATTTAAATTTTTAAAATCGTATATAAGCGATTGTGGGCGTTAAAGGGGGCGTGGCACCATTTTGAAACAAACTTGCGCTGCGTAGGAACTTCTAAAATCTACATGCAAAATGTCAATCTTCTAGCTTTTATAGTTTCCGAGATCTCAGCGTTCATACGGACAGACAGACAGACGGACAGACGGACATGGCTAGATCGACTCGGCTAGTGATCCTGATCAAGAATATATATACTTTATAGGGTCGGAAACGCTTCCTTCTAGCTGTTACATACTTTTGCACGAATACAATATACCCTTTTACTCTACGAGTAACGGGTATAAATACTAAATCTACCCTGTACTCCTAGTGCTGTCTGGTATTAATTTAATTTTATTTGATGAAATGGGAGATTTGATAAAGTGATAGAGATTATTTTACAGTTGATCTGCGTATTTTAAGTCATTTTGATGGGTATGTATTGGAGTTTGGGGAAATGATCTTAATAAGGGTACTTTCCAGCCTGAAGACAATATTATTCTTGGGTCCGCATATTGGAGGTGGTTGCTACCCAAAGGGCAAAGTCAAGGCAACGATTGCACTTCTGCTCTGGTGTTGAATGTGATTTCCGAAATCAATTAAATACCGGAAGACGGTGTCTACAAACATACTTGAGTACAGATAAGCACTTTCAGTAGCATCTGAAGATCGTTCTGCGGTTCAAGATTAGCAGCTAGCATAAGTACGGAACGAGTGCGATCCCAGGGGATTTTATTATTTAGGTCGGAAGTTTGCAATGCCATATGTTTTTCACCTTATACAAAAAAGGTGCAGTTTTTCGCCAATCGAAAATAAATTACTCAAGAAATTTAGCAGTTTCGGTACCCTTGCAGTTATTATAAATCGACCACATTTCGATTTCTATGCCTACATTACTAAAAACAATGAAGCTATGTCGATTTTGCGCTGCATTTTGTCATCATTTCTATGGCAGCTATATGATATTGTTGTCCGATTTTAATTTAACTAATTCCTTAATATTTAAATATTACCAAGTCCCAAAGAACAAGGCAAAAATTAAATCCAACAAAGTAATAATTTTTTTCCGATTGTTCCTATGGGAGCTATATGATATAGTCGCCCGATCTGGCTCATTCCGACTTATATACTACCTGCAACAGAAAGCCAACTTTTGGGAAAGTTTCAAGCATATAGCTTTAAAACTGAGGGACTAGTTTGCGTAGAAACTGACAGACGGACATCGACTCTCCTGGTGATGCTGATCAAGAATATATATACTTTATATCTTCACAGCTCTGCAAACTTTTGACTGAAATTATAATTCCTTTTTGCAAGGGTATAAAAAGGCGTAGATCGTTACAAACCATCATCTTAGATGACTTATGAAATAATTGTACTTAATAATTATATTCAAAGATTTGTTTTCTGTTTCTATAAAATGTGTTTGATTTTCATTCACTGACCGTGCTTACACTTTTAATTGGAAATGGGCAAAGTTTTTCTCCTGTTCCGATTGTGTTGACGGGCATTCGTGCATTTTTTTCAGACCCGCCCCGAAATAATCAGATTAGATAATGTTATTTTCCCCATTTCTTCCCCATTTTTCGCTCATATCTGTGGGAAATTCACTTGCTCTCTGTGGGCACTTGCAGTGTCCGTTGGTTTGTCACTTAAATGGCAAATGGCAGGGGGAAATGCCGCTCACCTGTTCGGACCAGAAGGATTTTCCAAGCCAACGCCATCTGCATTTCCCAGGGTTTTCCCCCTTTTCTTTTGCTGCATACCTTTAGGCATTTGACAAAAACTCCGATGAACTGAGACCATGTTCATGGATGCCTTTGCTTTTGCTTTTGCCTTTGCCTTTGCCTTGATGAGCCGCAATCCGGGCCACTTAAGTGGGCTGGAAAAGCGATGGGAAGGCTAAGGAAAATCGGGGCGGAAAAGCAAGGCAGGGTAGGCTTAGTTCGACAAGTAAACGAATGCTATAATTTCCATTAAACTGATTTCCCACGAGCAGCTGCAAGTCAAGCCAGCAAATGTTGCAATGCTGATGACCGCCCCTGGCTTTTGGGGAGGGGGGTTGATAAGTGGGTGGAAAAGTGGGTGGAAAAGTGGGTGGATAAGCGGGTGAGCATGGGTGGGGAAAGCCGACAGTTAATGGCCACATGCATAAAAACCTGCAGCCAACGGAAGCCCAAAGAGGACACATCTCAAAGGGAGAAATGTGGCAGCCGGGTGGCTTGGAAAATTCATGATGTTCATGGGTGGGGCGGCGGGAAAATCGGGCCGCTCGGAAAATCCATCCACTGCATCTCTCCCAGGACCTCTAGCCAAAAGTCACGAGTCTCGAGCTCTGAAATGAAAAATAAATTGAATTAAATTCGAAAATACCAATCTTTTGCGGTCACTTCGACAACGGAAACAAGTTGGCATCAATTAATAAATCAACTTAGACCAGGCCAAAATATAGTATACATATATTTTTGGTCTGGCACACACAAATATTATAAAAAGAATATCCCAGATTAAGTGAATTAAGAATTAAATGATTTTTAGTTATACACGAGACAAATATTAAACGACATTCAAAGGAACCCAAGTTCGAGTGGCAGTCAGTAAATCAATTATACAAAATTAAATAATTCGAAGAATTTTTGAACAAAAAATAAATGGTTTTAAATTTTGAATGCTTCCAATATACATAAAAACAGTTCAAAAAAAATAGTCAAATAGTCTTTTATTTATTCTTTTAAATACAAAATATTATGTTACGTGTTCCATAATATTTTCAACAATGGCGGAACAACGCCATCTTTACTAAAACTAAAATGTATGATTGCTTAAGGAACTGCAGAAAATAAAAGAGTCATAAATAAAATACCAAAATCACTTGGCGAACGGCCTAAAAAATACCCGAAATAAAACATGCATTGAATCAATCAACAAGATGGCAAATGGCTAAAATCCGCTTAGGTTCTCAGTTGTTTTTCGCCACCGCCAGCGATCGCCATCCGCTATACGCCCCAGTGCCACGCCCCCAATGCCACGCCCCCAGCGCAGCAAGTAAGTGGAGCCCTATTCGAGACGTAAACAAAACTTGTGTTTACAAACGGCGGAGAGAAGGGAGTCTGGACGGGAATTCTTATCACCGCCGGTCAGTGGTCGCCAGTGGAGGGCAGTTGAAGGACTCCCGTTACCGTTCCCGCTCCCGTTCCTGCTCCCAATCCTGCTCCTGCTCCTGCTCCTGTTCCCGATCCGTTCCCACCGCTCACTTAAGCCGCTTTGGGCATGCATGGTAAGAGGCAAATCGGACTAAGCCACAGCTGCTGCTTTAAATTCTTGGGGCCACTCGGGGGCACTGAGAGAAAAAGTAGTCGCTACTACTTATGGGCTACTTTTTCACAGAAATATGACAGCCAGTTGGTCTCATAATCGAGTGTTTAAGGGTAGAAATGGTATTAAGTATCTAGTATGTCTCGGTACAACTGACTATGCTCAAGGAAATAAGATTTATTACATTTGATATCAATATCCAAACTCAATTGGAAAAAACAAGAGCCCATTTCTACTTATAATTTTAAAACATTTAAAAAACCGGAAGAAACAATGAGTATGAAACTAGATATTGACCATATTTTATTTATTTCGAAAACCATCTATCAGTGTGTGGGTCTAGTACACAGAAAAGAACGAGGGTGGGGGAACACCATGCCTGGGAAAATACAGCCACGACTGTCACCTGCGACTTATGCAAATCACCAAACGACCGAACAGCTGAAAATAATTTTCCACATTTCCGTAACAAATAAAAACCAATTCACTTTGCTAATATGGCCACACAGGCAAAGACTCATCCGGAATAGAAAAGCCGGTTTCCCGAGGGCTGGGAAAGTGGTAGAAAGGGGAAATGGGAAATGGGCAGGAGTGGGGAAAGCTGAATGCGTTTCGGATACGCAGGCCCTGCAAAAGTTTATGCACGCAATGCAATAATTTTGTTGCACAGTGTATGCTCTAAGTTCAGTCGAGCTTATCCATTATCAAGTAATGTTTATTGTTGGTAAAAATAAATATTTATGACAAAAATGTTAGATGCTTAATAATAAGCAAAAATCACATACTCAATTAAGTTTTTTAAATTTCTTAAGCTGTTTTTTGGTAACTATCCTTTAAGTCAAATTAGAAATCAAATATTAGCACTAATAAAACAAACTTATTTTTGAGGTACAAAAATTAATTCAAATTTAATAAATAAATCACTATACTAAATTTATTTCGAGTATATATACTTTTAAAATGAATCTATAGACACTTGACTAAAGTAAAGTAAATTCGGCTGCTGTGATATTATTTTGAAGTAGGGTATTTCGCACATCGAGTGGCGCCCTGCGGTCGTGTATTATTTCCATAAGCTGCCGCTTACCAACCCGCTGGATGTTTCTTTTTCGCATTTGTTGGATGTCAGTTAGTCAGTTTGTCAGTCAGTCAAGTAGTCAAGTAGTCAAGTAGTCAAGTGGGAGGAGCAGGAGCAGGAGCAGGAGCAGGAGCAGGAGCGGTGGCATTTGCAAGTCGTTAAATGCCTTTGCAGCTCGTCATTGTCGTTGGCATTGTGGCTGCACTTGCCCCCCTTTTGGGGCGCCCCTTTGGGGGCAGGCCAACCCCTTCTTGGCCATGTTTCGTGTCGCTGGCATTGTCAATGCTTTCGACTTCCTTCCGCTGTGGCCAACAAATTCGAGCCGCGCATGCAGGCCGCGCAAACATAATCATCATTATTGCTGCAATCAGCATATTTGGCAGGCTTAAAGTCAGTCGCTGTCCTGCGGGAAAAACACGGAAGCATTGTAAATTCCCCCCCGCTCAAAGTGCCCTCCGTTTTCCGGCAGTGTACCCCGTTTGCTATGCGTTTAGTTGTGTGGTTATGCTTAATATCCGTCATTAAAATGGTTGTTGTTTTTACCGCACCGTTGAGGAGCTGCATCACCACAGCGAGTAAACTGAAACAAAATTGTGGTTAAATCGCAATAATATATATTCTACAAGGAAGCCAAAATATCCTATGGCCTTATTATATTCCATTTTGATTTGTAATATTATTCAGGTAGTTTTATAGATTGAATGTAAGATTGATTTGTAATATTATTCAGGTAGTTTTAAAGATTGAAATTCTAAGGAACAGCTATTCGATAAATATGGCCCATTACAAAACAAGCTTTATTTTAACTAGCAACATTTTTAAATTATTGAGATACTACTGTAGTATATAAACGTGGTTAGACCACTATTGAAACATTTGTAAGAATATATTTTCTTTTCAAACGGTGACCCAAAAACGTTAATATAAAATTATTAGAGAATAAATAGAGAATTCAACTAACTATTGCTATGCATTTTTTCTTTTCAATTGAATCACTAAGAATTGTTTTCAGTGTTGCCGCCCGGGGCCGATGCAAGTGCGTGGGTTGGCCATAGGCCCATCACCTGAACCCACCTGAACTCACCTGAAAGCAACCCAGCCAATACACGTGCATTATGCAAATGTCAAATATATTGCCCAGTGCATGCGATAAGAATCCATTGCGCAAAAATTAATTAGTCAATTTGCATGAAATTTATGTACAAAGCGCGAACAAACGAAACCAAAACGAGGCAAAAGTCTGTATTTCAAGGAGTTGGGGGAGTGGATTTGGGGCTAAACATATATCTGACTCGACGCGGATGAAGCCTTCAATAGAAAACACTGTGCTACAAAAATGATGGGCATAAAACGATATTTTATTTGTTTGCATATTTGAATACGTACTTCACAAGGATATTCTTGTATTAAATCAGTACCATGATATCCTTGAAATATTTGTAGGTAATTCATAAGTAAAGGAATGAGAAGGAAATTAAATTGGACCCCTATATATCACTAGATTATGCAAATGTTGTAGCTTAAAACATAATTTTAATACCTTAGCTACAAGTGTTACTGTTTTTGAAATCCCAGCAGCCTCAGATTTTGGTGTGTAACTCATTGTCTAAATTATTTCATTTTATCACTAACTTTTTAAAGAAAAGATCGCAGACGAATTTTCCCGAAACAATTTTAGTATTTTTGTTAAGAAAAAGCAAACGAAAACAATACGTTTTTTTTAAGATTTGGTTTTAAAGACATAGGAAAAGACAAAAGGATCCACTGAAAATATTTAAGACTTGCAAGAGAAGAAGGTCAGTATGCAATAAATAATATTTTCAAATGGGTTGTAATGTAGCTGAAGGCTAAAAGATACAAGTTTTATACAGCCATGGAAACCAACCGATGTTCAAAAAATATTGAAAACAGTTAAGAAGAACGAATTCGCGTTTATGGAAAGGTTTCATATTTTTTGAATAATTTAGATGGTACTCCGTTTTATTAAGATTTAGATTTAGATTAAATCGTTAGAATCTATTAAAAATTTAAAAAACAGCGGTTCTGTATTAGCCGCTTTTTTTTTTAAATAAGTGGTTAGTCTGTTTTATTTTTAATATATTGTGAACTGGTAAAACCAAGGTTTTCCTCTAAGAGAAGGTTTTTCAAAGGCTCACCTATTTTTTTGAAATAAATAAATAGTTAAAACAGATCATAGTTTCTGAACTAGGCAAGGTTTAATTTCTAGTTTCAAAGCTTTCTGTGGGTAATTGTCCGAATAATCACCATCCCTTGCAGGACTTCCCGCGCAGGACTCTTGAGCACCAGGACTCGAACTCGGACCCAGACTCCGACTCCGATTCGGCGATGTCCCTGCACTGGAACGTGAACTGCGATGGCTGCGGCACCACGCGACTGATCCACTACCGCTACAAGTGCCTGCGCTGCCCGGACTACGACCTCTGCTCCGCCTGCCACGAGGGGGGCGTGGCCACGGGGGCCCACGAGCGGGGCCATCCGTTCCAGTGCCTGCTGGACCGGGCCGCCCGTGAGCTGCACTTCGCCGGCGAGTCGATCCCGGACCTGTGCGCCGACAGCTTCACATGCCCGCTGTGCGGCCAGCTGGGCCTGTCCGCCGGTGAGCTGATCCGTCACTGCCAGGCGCGGCACCGCGCCGCCCGCACCTCCGTGATCTGTCCGCTGTGCGTGGCGGTGCCGTCGTCGCACCCCGGCCGCGTCAGCAACCTCGCCGGCCACCTGGGCCTGCTGCATCCGGCGAGCATCCTGCGTGCCCCGGAGGCGCCTCCGCTCGCGGTGGGCAGCCCCGCGTCCGGCCTCTTTCAGTGGTCCACTGGCGGGGGCGGGGGCACTTTCTCGTTCGGTGGCGCTGGCAGGGGAGCTGGCAGGGGCGTGGCAGCGGGAGCGGGAGCGGGAGCGGGAGCGGTACACCAGCAGATGCCCAGCAGGGGCCTCTTCTCCCCCGCGACCTTCGCCACCCACCGCAGCCTGCCCAGCGTCCAGATGCCGCAGGTGCGCTTCGTCCTGCCCACGGGCACGCCCCCCTTGGCGGCGCCCGAGGACCTGAGCGATAACGATATCGTCGAGATGTGAGCCTGCAGGATCGAGCGGACCTCCACACTTTTGTTTGTCAACCCCCAGCCGCACACACACACACACACACACACACACACACACACACACAGAGAAAACAGGAAACGGAAACAGAAAACAAAGTCCTTGCACACTGGCACAATAATAAACAGATACACTTTGGCCAAAATGCATAACGTATTATTAATACTTTTGAATTTATAAATTAATCAATTGCATTGTTGAAAGTGGCAATAAATAGCAGGCTAAATTAAAATAAATAATTTGATTAATTAATAATAATATGTAACATATGCAAGACCATTTGATATGTTTTTTTTTTGTATTTACACTGCTGTGAAATGGGAATCCCCCGCCAGTTTCCACTTAAGAAAACTCAAGTCACACTTGCAACCCCAACTAATTAGAAAGGCACTGAAGTGTGCCCCTGCCCCTCCGAAATACCAGGTGCTTCCAGGGGCATTACTTGCTCCTCGGGTCTGGAGCTCCAAGTGCTTCTGTTGCTGTTGCTGTTGCTGTAATCGGCTTAGAGGTGGAAACCTTTTGTCATTATAAAAGGATTTCAGGCTCGACAGAGTTTCCATTTGTTGCGATTCGCCGTACAGTCTGTGCTTAGTTAACTTTTGGCCGCTTTTGCCAGCCCTCACAGAAATTAAGATTCAAAAACCGATATTTCGGCTCTCCAATTATAAAGGTAAGCACAGACAAAGCATTTCCAGATAAATTGCCAATCGAACTAGATAAAATGAGCCGAGTGTAAATAGTGGAAAGGCGCAGATAGGCCACGTCTCCGGGTCCCATCTACACTGCAAGAAAGGTGTGCAAAATATATATTTTTTTAAATGTGTACTGCTTACGCCAACATTCATTTCGGAAACTCAATTCTTATTTATGTAGCTTTAAATGTATCTTAACTTTTAAAGTGAAAATATGGCAAAATTAAAAGCTTTTTAAAAAATATTTGGTAATGATGATTTTTAAAACAGAATCATATATTTTCTAGCAGAAACTTTGGTTAAGATATGTTGGTTAATAATTATTTAATTAAATTATAAGGATTAGAACCAGCACAATTTCGGATTTAAAATGTGTATATTTTTCTTACGGTGTAGTGGGGATTGCCTGGCAGCGTCCAGCCGAAAACAAAGCGGAGTTACCAGGCTCCAGCTTTTGGCTCCTTTCCTTTCCTTTTCGTTCCTTTGATCCTGGCGCTGCATGCGTGGCTGATGGTTGACAATAGATAGACATGGACATCGACACAGCCGGCATGTCCTTCGTCCTTCGTCCTGCGTCCCCCCTTTACCCCGGGTAACCCCCCCCCCCACGATCCCGACGGGGTGGTCGTTATGGCTAATGAGTATTTTGAGGCCGAATCGGGGAATCGTGTTCCCTGCAAGTTATCGGCCGGCAGGAAAGGTTTAAGCCTGCAGTTCGAAGTGGAAGCGGAACTCTCGAGCGACCCGCGGCGTGCGTGAGTCACGAGGGCAGGTCCTGAAGTTTTGGAAGCTGGCTTTAAAGTAACTTAAGTCACAGAACTGGAACTTAGAATTTAAGTACAGACATTCTTGCCTAATATTATTTTATTTATAACAGTTCTTATCCTAACGCTTCAAAACACTTTAAGCTTTTAAAAGACTTATCAGTGAGTTATTAAATAAATAAATAAGGTGCACTAAAATATAATTCTTTTGCCATTTCCTGTCAGGAATCCTTTTAAGGAAATAATTAAAGTTGTTTTATTACGGCTACTAAATAAAACTACATATTAGAGTATGTATTATCATTAAATAAATTAGGTGACTCAGCTTCCATTTATAGTTAATATACGATTTGGAAATATATTGTGTTTTCTTGATCCGAATCATGTTATATTTATTTGTCGACCAACATTCACAAGTTTGTTATTATCACTTTGCATTGATGTATATTCGACAGTACCCTCTAATCTTTTTTTAGCTGCACTTTCGCTGAGCCCGTGGGGCTTTCTCTTCTGGCCTGCCTCACGCCGGCATCTCAAGTGGCAGGCTTAGGCCGCCAGATCCCCTTTTAACCCCCCTTGGAGAGGCATTCGTCCGCCGCCCCTGTCTTTTCTCCACACAGCACGCATACAAATGACAATAAAAGCGAACGACTTTGGTTTTTGGATTTTGCAGCTCGCCTGAGCCTCCCTCTGCGTTTTTCTGTGTGTGTGCGCAAGGGGGCAGGGGCAGGGGCAGGGGGTTTTGAGCCCCCTAATCTACCCCTCCCCCTTTCGGGCACCCTTTCGATTTTCTGCCCCTTGAAGAGCTGCCACAGTTTTGCGACTGAAAGTTGAACCGCAATCGACATCGCTGGCCGCCACACGCTTGCACAATTTTTAATCATTGCTCCGGCATTCAGAGCTGGTCCTTCGAGCCCCTGAGCCCCTCCTGCGTTCCCACCCTTTTCCCCGCCCCTGGCCACCCCCTCTAACGCCGCCCCTCGCCGATCCTGGAGCATTGTTGTGAGAAGGACGAGGACACATAAACATGCATGGCAGCAGGCGGCAAACATGCACTTCACAAAAAATACAAGCATCGTAAATCTATATAACTACTTCTTAATTTAATGATTTCTTTATTTTAAGGATTTATTATTTTTTTAAGGAAACTATTAAGTCTATTTCCTTTTCAACTGAAATTTATATTCCGCAATTTTAAAATATAGAAATCTTAAAAAAATGTTTCCAGAATTTAAAGAATCATTTCCATTAATTTATACCTAAAATCATGCTTAAATTGCTGCCATTTTCTCAAACCTAGAAATCTAAAAGCAGGAAATGTGCAACTGTAAATGCTGCTGAAAATTGAATTCACAGAAAATGGTTTCAGTGTGGGCAGGAGAAGGGTCCTGGGTCCTGAAACGTGGGATCCCAAGCAGCGGATAGAGCAGAGCCTGGGCTTATTGTCCGGGCTTTGGGTCCTTTATCTTGTTTCTAACTCATTGGATCGCAAAAACGGTCTCGTGTTCACCTTAATTGGGGTAAACATAAGTTCTGATTGCCCCGGCAGGGTTGCAGCGACACAAAAAGAATGAAAAAAAAGGGGAAAAGAGTTGCCAGCGACATTTTTCTTTCCCCTACCCATTCTTGGGTTATCCTCGAAAGGAATGTGGCCGTTGTCTGGCCAGGAAAGTTGAGTCAAGTCAAAAGCCAAAGTCAAAGACGAACGTCGAACGTCGAAAGCCGAACGTTGAACATATCCAATTAGAAGGCCACAAAGGGCGGCCTGCGAAAAAAGGGTTCGAAGTGGGGGTGGCAACCCTACCGGCCATTGTTGAAAGGAGATCGCAGCCCCCAGATAGAAATTGTTGAACGTGTAATTTTTATTTATTGCAAACAATTCTGTTAGAACTAATGACAGCGGAATTGGGACGGGAGTTTCCTGTACACCTATGCGCAAAGTATTGGTGGTGCAAAAAAAAAAATAAACAAATATATTTAAAATGATTGGTAAACCCATTGTAAATAGCACTGGTTTTTTAGTAAATTCACAACATTTAAAAATAATAAAAATGTAAGCCAGAAAATGGTTGAAAAATTAATTAATAATTCAATTGAAATGAATAGTGAGTAAATGGGTAAATAGCATTATCCTGAAGTAGTTAACAAAAACATTTTTCAATTGGCTTTGAAACACTCTAAAAGCAAGCAAACACTGCTATTGTCTTGAGCATAGCTGTGTGTATTTTAAATAAATGTTGAACTTTGGCCGCACACAAAAAGGTTGCCGCCATGCAAAAAATGTTTGGGGAACTTTTGAATTGAAAAAGCGTTTAGACATTGTTCGCCTTTCTGTGTGTGGGCAACTAAATGATGGGGAAACTATAAAAATTTCCATAACAATAATAAAAGCAACGAAAAAGGCAGCGGAGCCCCCAGACCCGAAAAGACATTTATTCATTTCAGTTTTGGAAATTAGCATAAAAGTAAAGGCTCACATAGGGGATGATGTCTGTGTCCGGGATAAAAACTGGGGGTGTTGTAAAATTGTTGGATGTCTGGGGTGGGGGAAAAAGGATACAGGATACAGGATACAGGATACAGAATACAGGAGAGCGATGAGCCACAATCAAAGCTTGTAAGCGTTTGATAAGCGTGAAAATCGTGAAAATTTTAATAAAACCAAATGAGCCGCAAAATCATACAACAAAAAAATAAAAATAAACAAGGGAAAACAACAATAAGGAGCAACAGAATCGGGCTTTATATCCCAGATTTCGGCAAGGTGGGTAATGAAGCGCCCAAATGTATGCCACAGTTTCTGTTTGCTAATGCGGAAACTTTGTCACCGCGGAAAAGCTGCTCTGGAAAACGCCATTTGGAGACGGAAAATCAGCGAGAGAGTGAAATGTAAAATTGAGAAAATTCCCCGTAATGTATGCTTTAAATTTTATCACCAAACTCGATTTGTAAGGGAAATGTCTTGAATGTAAAGATAAATCATTCAGCTATTATAATTAACTATATTATTAAATTAAATTAATTTTTTAAGGAAATCTAAACAACATATAAGCTGAAGAAAAAAACTAATTAATAGCAAAATAATAGCCTGGGCATAAAACAAATTTTAAATAGTAAACGTCTTTTCTTAGGTCTTTATTTATTTGAATTTATACCCCGTTGTAAAATTTGCTTGCTTAATAAGAGCATTTATTGATATTATGCGAAAGCAAATGTCGTTTAAAATTGATTTTAAGTGGAGCTTTGGGATAAGCTACGAGTTGGTTGGCTTATGGCGTCTTTGATGGCCACTTCAAACGGTTTTGGACCAACCATTGGCGACCTTGTTAGCCAACCAATTTGGCCCGAAAGTATGCGATGAAATCTGGTATTTGCCAAATGAGGGGATTTAAGTCCTGAACTATACCTTAACCGCTTGCTTTTTCTGTGGCAAACAAACAAGCCAGCCTTTCCCCCAAAAGAGCACACAAAAAACTCGGAGCCGAAGACCCTTGTGTATCTGTCATACCTTTGAGAAAAGTTTGTGTTTTGGGTTTGAGTGCTCTGAGGCAATAACTAAACAAAGGCAAAAATGACCAACACATTTTGCGCCCCAATAAAACTGTCAACATTATAAAGCGCCACTTAAGAAATGAACAAAAGACTGGCCCAAAAGGTGGGCGCGGCAGTGGGGAAAAAACAATAATCATAAAATTAAAGCCAAGCCAAAAAGCCGGGCGAAAATTAAATAAATAAATAAAAAAAAAAAAATGGGGAACGCCAGGGCACAAAAACAAAACAACAAAGAGTTATCAGGTGGACGAAGGTGAAGGGTTTGGTTGACATGCTTAGCATGACGTCCACACACGGCAGCACACTGGAAAAAAAACATACCCACCCACAAGCACACGCCCACCGCTGACATTGTTGCTGAAACTGCCACTAAATGTCAGCAAATGAGGGTCAACACACAATACACATGTGCCACACCTCCGAGCCAACTAAATATTGTAATAAAACGCAAAAAACCCAGAATAATGCATCGGATGACAAGTGATGGAGTGTGAAGATACCCTGGACTATGTATATTTTTTTAAGAAATAAACAATGATGTCAATCTTAACTCATCAGAAATAGTGTAATCCTCAATAAGGCTATACAATTTGTATACGAAATGCATGTTTAATTTATACTTTAAATAAACAAATAAATAATCAAAACTTATTACCAGGCGAACTGCTCTGAAACACCCTGTATGCATAAAGGGTATAATGAGGAGAGAAAACATATAAAAAGTAAAAAACTTGTTCACCCCCTTCGTTATTTTTGGTTTTTATTTTTTTTTTTTCTAATGAATTGACCGTAAAATGAACTTGTTGATGAGCCTTATGAGCTGACTAAAGTGCCACGCCCCCTCCCACGAAGCCTCCTTGGCGTGGTCATTTGCAATAAAAAAGGATTATGAGCTGAAGGACAGCCCCGAAAAACACCCACAGAACACGATGTAGGTGGAAATACAAACACGGAGCATATAAATATTTATAAAAGTGTGCGTGGAGTGAGGGGTCAAGTGTCAGTGCCATTTGACAACTTGCCACACACACACACTGCAAAAAAAGGTGCGTCCCTCCCATTAGCCTCGCCAGTTGGCCTTGAACCCCAAACTGAGGATCCAAAAACCCAGAGGACAGCCTCAAAATAAACAAGATAGGAAGCAAACTTTGGCAAGCCGAAGTTTATATACCCTTGCAGTTATTACTAAACGACTATTTCGATTTCTATGCCTATATTACTAAAAACAATTGTCGATTATGCGCTGCATTTTGCCATCGTTTTTATGGCAGCTATATGAAAGTGTTATCCGATTTTGACAAGCTAACAGCGTAATTCTGATATAGTAAATAATTACTATATCTTAAAGGAATATTTATATATTTGATAGGGTAGGAAATGTCTCCTTCACTAAGTTGCAAACTTTTGACTGAAATTATAATACCCTCTGCAAGGGTATAAAAACCTTCAAAATACAATCTATGCGATTATCCGGGTTTTTTTTGGATTCCAAATAATTTGAAAAAACAAATAAAGCGAAAAATAACCGATAAGAACATTAGATCATATTTTTGTATATGTTAGTCCATATACATATTCGGTGATTTGGGGTTTTCCAATTGGTGGCCGACGGATGAGAGAATTTGACGGCCACGTACTATAGATAAGAATATATTATATATTTATATTATTTTAGGCTTCGTGATTTCTTCAACTAAAAGCTAAATTTCAGTACACTTTTAAAATTCGTTTCGAGAAGGTCGAACAACTTAAGATGCTGAGACTATTATCCTATTTGCTTGGCTTATTAATTTTTCCAAGTGTACAAGGAGGAAATGGGTTCAATTCAAAGGATCAGTTTTTCTGCGTTCTCCAAGATGAACCACGACAGTGTGGCTCCTTTTGCCTGGCCGCACTCAGCCCGCTTTTCGACCACTCTCGCAATATCCGAAAAAGGTTGGATGAAATCGAGGCGGGGCAGACAGCCCTTAAGGATTCCTTTAGGATGACCAAGTTGGATTCGAGATTGGACAGAACGGAGGAACTTAGGACGGTGAGTTACGGATAGACAGACATCCATTGGCGTTCCAATCGGAAGTGCTTGTTCCTGTTTATATGTAAATCGCACACAAGTACGAAATTATTCAATAATACTGCACTGGAAGTATGATATTGCGTTGTGTGGAGCTCTATTAAGCAATATTTAAATTTCTTTCCTAGCATTCATTTTAGTTTCGACGTATTTAGAAATTGTTCAATTGTTTTTCTTTTGGAAGAACATTTGTTTTTTGGTGTAAGCTCAATTAAGATTTACCGCAGTAACCAACTAGAATATTAACAAAAAAATTAATGATTATTTTATCGCCTGTTCTAAATTATTTTGTACAGATTAAAATAATAGCCGATGCCAACGATGAGCTCAAAGGCCAAGTAAATACCCTCAAAGACTCCATAAAAAACTTGCAGAGCCAGTTAGAAATATCCGAAGTTCAAACCAAAAGCAAACAAGATATTTTAAAGGTGAAAGAGGAGCTCATCAAAAGCCAGCAAGAACAAATCTACGACCTTAGGACTCAAATTAAAGCGATTGAGAAAACAAAATCCGAACTATCTAGTCAGCTTTCGGAATGTCGGAAAACTGATGACAATTTACCTGACTCTTGTCCCAATGGCAGTCCCAATGGGATTTACCGAATAAAGCTTCCGGGTCTTAAACCCTTTGAAGCGCCATGTGCGACGTCTCCACCTGGTTATACTGTAATTCAGAGACGCATTGACGGTTCCGAGAACTTTCGTCGAACCTGGGAGGAATATAAATCTGGATTTGGGAATGTCAGTGGAGAATTCTTCATCGGGCTGGAAAAATTGCATCGGATGACTGAGTCACGACCCCACGAACTCTACATTAAACTTGGAACGGTTGATGGATCCACCAGTTACGCTCAATACGATGACTTTATGATTGGGAGTGAGAAGGAATTGTACGAGTTGAAGAATCTAGGGAAATATTCTGGTGAAGCCGGAGACTCCCTTTCAGCCAGTAAGAACCGAAAGTTCTCCACAATTGATCGGGACAATGACATTGGTTTCAATTGTGCCTTTGCATATGGTGCATGGTGGTACAAAAACTGTGGACCTTGGTATACCTGTTTATTTATGCTCTTATTAAATCTTCTTACTATAATCACTTAAAATTACAGTGCGCTAAATGGAGAATACTTCAAAGATGGCGATGGTTCGAATGGAATTACTTGGTTTTCATGGCATAAAACTTGGTCTGTATCACTTACCTTTGTCGAAATGATGATAAGGCCCAAGTCCTTATAAGTCGCACTGTTTAAGTATGAAATATTTGAATAATAATAAAATATACTAAGTCTATACTGTACTTTTAATGGTGTCTGGTATTAATTTGCTTTCATTTGATGAAATGGGAGATTTGATAAATGATTGAGATTATTTTATAACTGATCTGCCTATTTTGGGAACATAAATACGGATAAAAGAAGAGGGTTGGTAAGCTATTTGAAGATTTTACTCAATTTGGGTTTACATGAATATGTCAGTGCGTTTTTGGGTGCTCCCAATCCGCTAGAATTCGGAATCCTAAATACGGAATCACATTATTGAATAACATACAAATAGCTTAGATTATGTAGAAAATTTAGGAATTTACCAAGAAATGGCAATCGTTTGGATTCTTTAAAAACTCCCTGCTACTTGATAAAAAGGAAAATAAGTCAAGGAAAACTTTGCTTGCCATAAATATAGTTTTTTAAAGAGCAATTGGCCCCGTGAAAGTTTCCCATTCCGTCAAGATTTGGGCGGCTCCACTCCATACTGACTGTGCGTGCCAAAACATTTTGTAGAGCCCTTTGTCGAACTTCCCGACTGCAATCCCGACTCGTACATCACCGCAACATTGTAAACTGCTGTTGAGTATTTTTCTATTATTGAGGAACGCCGCCCTCGATCGGCTGGATTTTGTGTTTAATTTTATGAAAATGCCTGCCAACGTCAGCGGCGTTTCCCTCTTTTTCCAGCCGGATGTTTAGTGCAAACTTTAGTTTTTCCACACTTTCCCCTTTGGACCTTTGCTGTTCGGGCTTCAACTTCAACTTTTTGTCGGCTTCTGTCGTGTTTCCTTCTGTTTTCCCCTTTTATTTTCCTCCTTCTCTGCGCCTGTGAAAATTTGTTACGCCTAATGGCCAGGCAAAAGGGTTTGGGTCCCACTATATAAATACAATGAGTCTCATAGTTTTTCACCAATTTTTCGTTGGCTGGCAAACTTGAGAGTTGCTCAAAAATGCATGAAAATAATAATGGCTGCAGGTGTGTTCAGTGAAGTAAGGAACTTAATTGAAAATAAGGAAAACGCTGGCAATTTCCGTATTATTGCTTGTCTTTCTTAAAAGCCTTTGCCATTTGAATTTATCGGACTACCACTTATACAAAATCAATGACAAGGTATCCAGCTAAATAAACAACCAAAACAAGAAAAGCATTATAAAACCAGAAGGGACGCAAAAAAATCGACCCAAAATTATTTAAGACATACCATTTTGGAATCGGACTTCAGATAGAAAAGTTATGAGCGTACAAGTGCATATGAAGTGTAGATTTTGGACACTTTTCCGCAAACCCATTTTTCGAAAATTTGGAAAGGGGTAACATCATTGAAAATGACGAAAAATCGACCCAAAAAAAAAAATTTAACTAAAAACACAGATTTTTAGGGAATCAAGCCACAATCATTTTGAGGTATGCCACTTAAAAATCGGATGTCTGTAAGAAAAGTTATGAGCTTAGAAGTGTAGATTTTGAACACTTTTCCGCAAACCCATTTTTCGAAAATTTGGAAAGGGGTAACATCATTAAAAATGACGAAAAATCGACCCAAAAAAAAAATTTAACTAAAAACACAGATTTTTAGGGAATCAAGCCACAATCATTTTGAGGTATGCCACTTAAAAATCGGATGTCTGTAAGAAAAGTTATGAGCTTAGAAGTGTAGATTTTGGACACTTTTCCGCAAACCCATTTTTCGAAAATTTGGAAAGGGGTAACATCATTGAAAATGACGAAAAATCGACCCAAAAAAAAAATTTAACTAAAAACACAGATTTTTAGGGAATCAAGCCACAATCATTTTGAGGTATGCCACTTAAAAATCGGATGTCTGTAAGAAAAGTTATGAGCTTAGAAGTGTAGATTTTGGACACTTTTCCGCAAACCCATTTTCGAAAATTTGGAAAGAGGAAAAATCGACCAAAAAAAAATATTTAACTAAAAACACAGATTTTTAGTGAATCAAACCACAATCATTTTGAGGTATGCCACTTCGAAATCGGATGTCTGTAAGAAAAGTTTTAGGCTTAGAAGTGCAAGATTTTGGTCACTTTTTAGAAAAGCCATTTTTTAAAGGGATTAAATGAGGAAAAATTAAAAGAAATATACCAAAAATGTAAAGCCAAGTTTAAAACACAGATTTTTAGGCAATTAAGCCACAATTTTTTGAGGTAACCACTTAGAAATTGGAGTTCTATGAGAAAAGTTATGGTCTCAACATAAGTTATAAATTCAGATTTGGGTTACAATTTAAATTTAAATTAATTTTAGATTAATTTTAGTTTTTGTAATCAACAGTTTGTTAAAACATTTATTTGAAGTTATGGCGGAACGTTTGGGGTTTAGAAACCTCAAAGGAGCATCACACTTTTAATTGAAATCTATAAAATCAATTCACATTCTTGGGTTTCCCTCTGCTCAATGCTCAATCTAGTCGAGCAGAGTTTCGGCCCTTGATTTTCCATTCCACAACATTTTCACTTTACTGAATTTCGCTTTTCCTTTGGCCATTTGCCCTCCAGATTTTCCTATACCTTTTTGGATTCGTTACGTGAGGCACGCAAGTGGAGGCCGAAAAATCCAAAAATGAGTGGCAAAAATGCACACAGTGCCTGTCATTATTTTTGTGCAGTTTGCAATTGCAACGGAGGCAAAGGGTGAAAGGTAAAGGGGCGTGATTGAAGTTTCCGTTTGCTTAGCCGGGCAACGGGGCGTATGAGTGCCCGCACCTCTACACTTCGCATTTCAGCAGGGTCTGTAGTGTATTAATTACACGGGCAAAGGAAGGAAATGAGGGATCGGGAATGCTTACCAACTCATTAATGTCATCAACTTCTTGAGAAATCAAAGTTTCTGGCTTTTGGGGCTTTGTAATTATAAACACGATGCTGTCACCATCAATGTCCAGCATTCATTTGTTTGCCATTGGCTAGATGATGACACCCAGCTGTCCCAGCCCCTCCTCCCGACCCTTGACCCCCCCTTTGGCCCAGTTGATTAATGAATGTGGCGACATCCAGCGATGACATCGATTCCTGGCCCTCTCCGCCGGATCCGCCAGCGGTTTTACGTAATGCGAGGGCAGCCGGATGAGGAAGGGGAAGGGGGAAGGGGAACGGAAAGGGGAAGGGGAAAGGAAAAGCGAGACCAGACGGCATTAAAAGTCAACAAACACTATGACATCTGCCGCAACGCCTTTGGATGCACAGCCAGAAAAGGGGTCTTAATATAAAATTAATGCTGTTTCATTTGAAATTCTTCTTAAAATATAATCTAGCTATCTAAAAATTAAGCAAGCTATTTTAACTGAAGGCTAAGATGATGATTTTTGGCTCTTTAATAATTTAATATATTTCAATATTGGTCTTTTTATAAATGTTACGACATTGTTATATTAAATAATAAAAAAAACAAGTTTGATTTAAAGTAATTCTAAGACGCGACTAAAATCTTTATATATGTTTCTAGTTCTTCTCTTCTGAAAAAGTTTTCGCTTGAGAGATCTAAAAAAATACCAAAAAAGAAAGCCCTTTTCTCGTCCAGTGTGGCCTTGCTCTTGTGCAACTTAATGCCCGTCCACTTGACCCCGCCCCTGCCCCTTTGGGCCCACTCCGCACCTGTCTGGACGTGGACATTCATTTCGTCTGGCAATTATTTGCAACACTTGCAGCAAAACAAAGACGAGGATGGAATAGGATGGAATGGTGTGGCATGGAGTGCACTAGAGTCGAGTGGAGCGACCACATTGCGCAACAAATCTTTTTGTGGCCGGGCACGTGACGAGGGCCGGATCACGTGGCGTATGCGTAATGCCATTTTGGGCCAAGGCAGCACGAAGATACAGGCCCCCGAAAAACCGATCGAAATGATAAATTGTTTAAAGTTTGTGCTGATTGCCATTCAATTTCGAATTTATAGTTGCCTTTTCCAATTTTTTTTTTTACGAAAATTGGCGACACATTTTCGGTGGGCCACAAACTTTTGGCAAAGTTCTTTGCGGTCGAAAAGGGCCCCAAGCTGAAGACAATTAATTTCGGGTTAAATCATTAGAAAGAAGTTTGGCTTTTGGCCCGCAGGCATCAGAAAATGAGTGGTTTGTTTATGGACACTTAAACGCTTTCTGTAGTTTTGGATACTCGGAAGTCGCAGTGTGGCACAAGTTAATAATGATTTTTGCTAGGGTTTGTTATTGTAAAATAAACTTTAATATTAGTTCAACAATCAATATGGTCATTTATGTATCTAATACTATTAATGTTAAGTTGCCGTGGTATCCATAACAATTAATCTGCAATTTACGTAAAGAACCTTATCTTCATTTCCAATTCACGCTTAACCTTACTCACGTATAGAACATACCTATACTATTCTTTTATATATTTTCCTAGTCCATGAATCCCCTTCGCTGTCTTCATAGATCGCTCTCAGATTTCATCCGTTTACTTGCCAAGGAGTTTCATTAAATTCCCGCTTGACTTTTATCTCATGGCTAATTATTCTTCTTGTTCTTCCCACTCTTGCTGCAAATGAACTTCGTGTAGAAAGAGAGGGGGCTGGATGAGTAGAAAGAGGCAGGGATATAGCGAATCTTAGCAGCTCCTCTCATCTGTCTCATTTCGCTTTGTTTTCGCTCTATTTTTGTTTGGTTCCCTCATAAAACTCAAGTTGAAGAATCCTGACAAGATGGGGGGCTTTGCAAAATGGGGGGGGCTTAAAGACCCCCCCCCCTGCCATTCCATCCAAAAAGAGGTCGGCGTCTTTGAGTGTCTGCTTCGATATTTACGACATGGCTGAGATTTCAACTTGGGCAAAAGTTTGCCTCAAAAACTTCGTTGCCTTCAATTGTAGTTGCCAGTTGTTGTAGTTATTGCTGTAGTTGTTGTTGTAGCTGTGGGTTTGATTGTTGTAATTGCTATTGTTGTTGTTGTAGTTCTTGTTAAATTAGTCGTCGTTGTTTTTGTTGTCGCTTTTTGGTGTAGATGTTGGTGTATAAGCTGTTGTTGTAAATGTTGGTGGAATTGTTGGTGTAATTTCTCTTGTAGTTTTTGTCCCACCAACTATTGTTGTTGTTGTTGCTTAATTGCTTGCTGATGTGCTTGTGTTGTTGGTGCTATTGTTGTAGCTGTTGTTATTGTTGTAGAGTTTTTGTTGTGTGCCTACAAAGTAAATGATAGCTCTTGCTGCAATGCAACCGCCAAGCCGCAACTTGTCGCTCATTCTCTCCCTTATCCTTGCGTTTTAATTGTCACACACACTTTATACATATACGTATATGGATATATGTGAAGCATACACCAACGCATATATCCTATCCGGGCCACGCCCACACACATGTAATGCCATACGCCCACTTGTTTACCGCTCGCTGGCATTTCGTTCGCCTACCCGTTTTCCGCATCTCTCGCTTTTCTCCACCGGATTTTCATCCTGAAGTGGGCGTGGCACTCCGCCCCCGCCCTCGCCCCATCCACAGGAATCTCAGTGTCTCAGCATGTGTATTTGCACTTGGCAACTTAACGCTGAGGTTTCGTTTTAATAAGTTTAACAAGTTTCTTGGCATAATTTGCGGTGCTTCCCCGCGCCCCTCCTCCGTTTTTTCTGTGGGCAGGTCTTCGCCCGGCCCCCTAGCTCCTCCATCCACCTCCACATCCACATCCACTTCCTGTTCTTGCTATGCACTGCATTTTCCTGGCCCGCTGGCCGCGGGCTGCGAACTGTCGGAGGATTCTGCAACAGGTCCCAACTCGAGACCCAAGTCTCGAGTTTCTCACGTAGCCAAACACGCCTGAAATGCGAGACCAGACTGGGTGAACTCAAAGAAAAAAAAACAGAAGAAACAATGGACACCACTGTGGGTCGAAATTAATACAGGAAGATTCTCAAGGACAAGGAAAGTTGCGTTCGTAAACGAAAATCAAAGCATCATATTACAGTTGACATTTAAAGTAATTTGATTGTACTTTTCATAATTTATAAAATAAATAACTACTTAAGCTAGTCAAATAAAAGCCACAAAAATATGACATAGAAGTTCTGAAATTTGTGAAGTTATAATATATTATTGAATATGAACCAATATAATTATTATTGAAAACATTAAAAAGTAAGTAATATTTTATAAACTGTTTTAGGATTTTTACGAGCTTATTAAAAAATGCTTAACCTTGTCAAATTATGAATATGCTTTCGAGAAGCATAAGATTTTTGCAACACCACAAAAACACTGCCTTTCCTTAAGGACTAAGCTTTAATCCCGCCTCTGGCCACACTGTGCCGGTGTTTTATAATTTGAAAGACGCCACCACCACACCATCCTGCCCTTTGCCCTCCGCCGAACCAAGGAAATTCCATGCGGCGAGCATACTTTTGTTCTTATCAGGCTGTCGGGCTGCTTTGAAGTCGCCTCCGCCGCCATAATTCAATTAAAATGGCAGCCGAGGTCCAAGGCAGCCACATCCACATCCACATCCACATCGCATACTCCCTGCTCCTAATGTGCCCAGCTATCCACTCAGTTCGGTTCTGGCGGGGACATTGTTGTTAGCAGACGGCGATGGGCTTTAAGTCTTTAAAGGACTTGCAGTGGAGAGGGACATGGGGCAAGGGGAAAGGGGCAAGGGGGGAGGGGGGAGGGCAAAGTCCAGTCCGTACATAGGCTGCTCGGAATTTGCATGCAAACAATGACATGCATAAACAAGTAGCAGAAACAAGGACCAGGAGGCAATGCCAACGATGATGGGACGGCGACATCGTCATAACGGAGGAGCCACGCTCGGACACGCCGAATGGGAAATGGGAAATGGGAAAAACAGGGTGAAGAGGAAAGAAAAAGCCGGTCGGAAAATGGGGGAAAAGCGTCTGCATCGCATTTTGGCCATTGTCCTTGACCAGACGGTTTGGGAATGGGGATGTGTCGAATTGCGGCCATCGCGCTTATCAACATTTTTCAGAGTTGCACCAAAGTCACGGTGACTAAATGTGATTCTATGATCGATTTCCACCAGCTCTTTTGTTCTTCAACGACTTTTTGGATTCGGTACTTTCATAAGCAGTTGTAAAAAATGATCAATTTGATTTATTTTTATGATCAGCTTCTTAAATTGAATGCAACTACTAAGCTGGAATTATACAAAATATAGGAGAGAATAAAAACCAAGAGTTAAATAAGTTTTTCAACATCATATATTCTTTAAATTTTCTTAATTTAATTAAACTAAATTAATTTCCAATTATTTATGAAGTGTTTAGCGAGTGAATATGACTTGTTGTTTTTAAGAACGGCCAGTGGAATTATGTTAATTTTGAATTGTTTTTACCGTCACAGTTTCCAATACTTGGCATCACTATTGGGCATATCAGAGTTATAGATTCGCACAGAGCCTATCAGATTGCACCCATCCTCCCTTCGAAGTCCCGGGATCCAGATTAGTTGGATGAATGATGGCGACGGAGATGGACACCTTTGATTCCGGAGGGGGAGCAGCCCAGGTGATTGGGGGTTAATGATAATGACGGCATGGGACATGAATGGAATTCGATTTCTAATTTTGTGCTGCCTCTTACTTCAGTCCTTTAAAACACCTGTACGGCTTGTTTAAATATACCTTTGTATGCAAGTCACTCAAAACTTGAAAGTTATATTATCCCAGTCAAAATTGAAACCTGTAAATTTTAAATATTTTGAGTTAGTTGCACTATAAGCAGTTTATTGTAAACATGCCCTTAAAAGTAATGTACTGTTTGTATATTTCAGTTGTTCGAGCTTTACTTCAAGAAAATAAATTGACCATCTCTATAGATCTAAGATAACTTTTCGTCCTTTTTTTAATTAAATAAGAATGTAAAATTTAAAAAAATTGGACATGTCAAAGCCTTGTTAGCGGACAGCATAAATATATCGTTTGGTTTGTATTCGTTTCCTTGTAACTGCTTCTAAAAGGATCAGCTGGTTATGTAAGGTCATTGCGTGATTACATTTTTATTTCAGTCAAAAGTTTGCAACGCAGTGAAGAAGTCATTTCCGACCCAATATACATATATATATATTCTTGATCCGGAGAGTCGATTTACGATTTACGTTTCTAAGCAAACTAGTCCCTCAGTTTTAAAGCTATCTGCTTGAAACTTTCCCAAAAGTTGTCTTTCTATTGCAGGTAGTATATAAGTCGGAACGAGCGACTATATCATATTGCTCCCATAGGAACAATCGGAAAGAAGAGTTTAAAAAATTATAACTTTGTTGTTTTAAATCATTTTGTTTTTGTTAATTAAATTAAAATCGGACAACAAAAGCATATAGCTGCCATTGAAACGCTGGCAAAATGCAGCGCAAAATCGACATAGCTTTATTGTTTTTAGTAATATAGGCATAGAAATCGAAATGTAGTAGTTTTGTAATAAATGCAAAGGTATATAAACTTCGACTTGCCGAAGCTTGCTTTCTTTCTTGCTTCTAATTTATTTTCGATCAGAGAATAACTGCACCTTATTTGTATAAAGTATAAGCTCGGAATTGTATGGCATTGCAAACTTCTGATCTAAATTATAATATCCCCTGGGTATAAAAAGCGAACGCTTATCGCACTCGTTTTGTACTTCTGTATTTATTTATAGCTAGCTGCTAATCTAGAACCGCAGAATGATCATCAGATGCTACTGAAAGTGCTTATCTGTGCGAAGGATGTTTGTAAACACCGTCTTCCGGTATTTGAATTGATTTCGGGAATCACATTCAACACCAAAGCAGAAAGAGAATCGTGGCCTCGACTTTTCACTTTGGGTAGCAACCACCTCCAATGTGCGGACCCAATAATAATAGAGTCTTCAGGCTGGAAAGTACCCTTCTCCAGATCATTTTCCCAAACTCGCGTACAAACCCATCATAATGACTTAATAAAAACTTATATATATGCAAATTAATAACAGTAGCAGACGGCATTCGAACGAAAAGTTAAGCGGAAACTTGCATAGTCCCCATCGTTTGGGAGGGCCGGGGTCCGGATTCAGGATTCCGTATTCAGGATTCCGAATTCTGGCGGATTGGGAGCACCCAAAAACGCACTGACAGATTCCTTAAATACAAATTGAGCAAAATCTGCCTTATGTTCCTAAATAACGCAGAGCTGTTGTAAAATAATCTCAATCACTTTATCAAATCTCCCATTTCATCAAATGAAAACAAATTAATACCAGACACCATTAAAAGTACAGTATAGATTTCGTATATTTTATTCACATTCAAATATTTCATACTTAAACAGTGCGACTTATAAGGACTTGGGCCTTATCATCATTTCGACAAAGGTAAGTGATTCAGACATATCTTCAAGCCAATTGTACCAAAGAATTCCTCCATAACCTTGGCCATATTTGAAGTATTCTCCATTTAGCGAACTGTAATTTAAAGTGATTATAGTAAGAAGATTTAATAAGAGCATAAATAAACAGGTATACCTGTATGAACAGCTATTGTGCCACCATGCACCATCTCTAAAGGCACAATTGAAATAAATGTTATTGTCATTATCCCGATCAAATGTGGAGAATTTTTGGTTCTTACTGTATCTGAGGGAGTCTTCGGCTTCACCAGAATATTTTCCTAGATTCTTCAACTTGTACAATTCCTTCTCACTCCCAATCATAAAGTCATCATAACGAGCGTAGCTGGTGGATCCATCAACCTTCTCAAGTTTAATGTAGAGTTCGTGGGGTCGTGCCTCAGTCATCCGATGCAATTTTTCCAGCCCGATGAAGAATTCTCTACTGACATTCCCAAATCCAGATTTATATTCCTCCCAGGTTCGACGAAAGTTCTCGGATCCGTCGATGCGTCTCTGAATTACAGTCCAACCAAAGAGAGACGACACACAGGGCACTTTAAAGGGTTCAAGACCCCGAACCTTTATTTGGTAAATCCCATTGGGACTGTCAATGGGACAAGAGTCAGGTAAATTGTCATCAGTTTTTCGGCATTCCGAAAGCTGAGTAGATAGTTCTGATTTTGTTTTCTCAATCGCTTGAATTTGAGTCGTAAGGGTCAAGATATGTTCATCTCTATTTTTAAGGTGCTCCTCTTTCACCTTTAAAATATCTTCTTTGCTTTTGATTTGACCTTCGGATATTTTTAACTTACTCTGTAAGTCTTTTATGTTATCTTTCAAAGTATTTAATTGGATTTTAAGTTCATCGTTGGCTTCGGCTGTTATTTTCATCTGTAATATAGAACAGGCGATAAAATAATAATCATTGCATTTGTTGTCAATATTTAAATTAGTTGGTTACGCAATAAATCTTAATTGAGCTTACAACAGAAAGTATTGATAACGTTGTCAGCGTCGATTCTAAACAAACTGAAAAAAATGTGTGTAATGAACTTTTGTTGCAGTATACTAATACTAAGCATTCTAATTTTCTAAAATACTGTTATAGTTGTTTTTTTTTACAATACATTTTTCTAAAAACAGAGATAAGCAATTTCGATGGGATTTCTAAGACTTCTATTTATCTGTCAGTCTGAATGTCTGTCTGTAAGTCTGCTATCAGTAACTCACCTTCATAAGTTCCTCCATTCTGTTCAATCTCGCATCCAGCTTGGTCTGCAAAGCCTTAATGGAATTGGCGAATTCTGTTTTTGTGGTGGTCCTGCTTACTCTTCTTCCAAGTTCCTGCAATTGGTTCTTCATTTCGGAGTTTACCGCCATATGTTGTTCTTCCGCCAGCTTGAATCTCGAATCGAGTCCGGCCTGCAGATCCTCTTGTCCTTGCAACGTGGTCATCCTAGCATTAAGAGCTGATTGCCCTGCCTTGATTTCATCCAACGTCATTCGCATACTATCAGTATCGTCGAAAAGCGGGTTAAGTGCGGCCAGGCAGAAGGAGCCACACTGCCTTGGTTCATCTTGGAGAACGCAGAACGACTGATCCTTTGAATGGAACCCATTTCCTCCTTGAACACTTGGAAAAATTAATAAGCCAAGCAAATAGGATAATAGGCTCAGCATCTTAAGATGTTCCATCTACTCAAATCGAATTCAAAAAGTGTACTGAAATGTAGCTTTTAGTTGAAGAAATCACGAAGCCTAAAATAATATAAAACAAGAAAGGAAAGCTAACTTCGGGCGGAGCCGAAGTTGATATACCCTTGCAGAATACTCTGTAAATTATATTCTCCAAAATTATTCATATGATGCATTCTTAATACTCATAAAAAATCCCAACTTCCTAACTTTAAAAACACCAAAGTTATGGCATTTCCAATCGTTCAGTTATATGGCAGCTATAAGATATAGTCGGCCGATCCTTATGAAATTTGGTATGTCGGATTGATTGGCCAAAAATAAAACCCATAGAAAATCCCAACTTCTTAACTTTACAAACACCATAGTTATGGCACTTCCGATCAATCAGTTATATGGCAGCTATAAGATATAGTCGGCCGATCCTTATGAAATTCGGTATGTCGGATTGATTGGCCAAAAATAAAACCCATAGAAAGTCCCAACTTCTTATCTTTAAAAACACCAAAGTTATGGCTTTTTCGATCGTTCAGTTATATGGCAGCTATATGATATAGTCGCCCGATCCGGCTCGTTCCGACTTATATACTACCTGCAATAGAAATACAACTTTTGGGAAAGTTTCGAGCAGATAGCTTTAAAACTGAGGGACTAGTTTGCGTAGAAACGGACGGACAGACGGACAGACTGACAGACGGACAGACGGACAGACGGACAGACGGACGGACAGACGGACAGACGGACATGGCTAGATCGACTCTCCTGGTGATGCTGATCAAGAATATATATACTTTATAGGGTCGGAAATGTCTCCTTCACTGCGTTGCAAACTTTTGACTGAAATTATAATACCCTCTGCAAGGGTATAAATATAATATATTCTTATCTATAGTACGTGGCCGTCCAAGTCTCTCATCCGTCGACCACCAATTGAAAAACCCCAAATCACCAAATATGTATAAATGTTCTTATCGCTTTTTTGCGCTTTATTTTTTTTTTCAAATTATTTGGAAACCAAAAAATAGCGGAATAATCGCATAGTTTGTATTTCGAAGGTTTTTATACCTTTGCAGAGGGTATTATAATTTCAATCAAAAGTTTGCAACGTAGTGAAGGATACATTTCCTACCCTATCAAGTATATAAATATTCCTTAAAGACATAGTAATTATTTACTATATCAAAATCGGATAACAATTTCATATAGCTGCCATAAAAACGATGTCTAAATGCATCGCATAATCGACATAGCTTCATTGTGTCTAGTAATACAGGCATAGAAATCGAAATAGTCGTTTAGTAATAACTGCAAGGGTATATAAACTTCGGCCTGCCGAAGTTTGCTTCCTATCTTGTTTGCAATATATTAGTTTAAAATTTTGGTTCATGTTTCTTCAGTACTTCGTATCACTTGTTACTTAGCAAACCTTATTTCTTTCGATATAAACTTTACTACAAATCACTCACTGCACTCCAAAAAAAATGCCTCTAACTTTCAATTCACGCACAAAACTTGAAGAAGTTCAATATGAAATCCCTCGACTGCCATGAAATTCAATCAGGACATTGGGGGGATGTCCCGGTGGGTGGGTGCTACCTCCCAAAATTCTGAGCCAGCCGGAACGCGCCAAAGTCGAGAGCTTAGCGAGAATTTAAATATGCGAGCTGCATACTTTTAGGGGCAGGCAAACAGTGCGTGCGAAAAAGCAGTGGCGTCGTAGGGCGGTGGAGGGGCTGGGGGGCGTGGCAAATGGGGCAGGTGGGGCAGGTTCAGCGCAATGTTTTCGGCATTGGAAGGCCACGCGGCCGCTGTGATTGTTGTTGCTGCGATTTTCAAATCAATTGGCAAACAGAACAACAAAAGCGCAAACACAAACAGGGAATTTAGTGTATGCGTGTGTGTGCGCTTGTGTTTGTGTGTGTCTGGCTGAGTGAATACCCTGTGACTGTGTGCGCGGACACTGGGAGAAATTTCTATTTTCAATTTACTTTTTAATCGTTTGTTTATTAATAGGGGAAACTAGTTTTCTCAGTTAATAAAGTAATAACTCTAACTTAAGTTTAAGTTGCGACAGAGACCTATTTTTGCAGTCTTTAAGAAAGAGAAAAATATACAACACAATAACAAGTAATAAATAATCTTAGGATTCTTACAAAAAATTCGTGCTCAAGAAAACGTAGAGAATACAAAAACAAATATGTAGATAATATATACATATTTATAATATTTTGTTTTATAAATTTGAGATTTTGATTAAATTGAGAGTGCCTCACAAATTTATATTCATAAGTAAATAAGAATTTGCCTTTGATTAACTCAGTTACACTGAGCAAAGCTTGTGTTGTAATATTCATTTCAAGAAAGTATAACGTGACTACCATATGGTTCATTAATCCACTTATTTTAATTATTCTAATTTAATTGTTAATACTTTAAATCGAACCCTGAAAAGCAAGATAATTTAACAATATTTTTGAGAGTACTGTGTGCATTTTTCCGTGAACTTTTATATTCTGATTGTATGTTATACCCCCCAGTTTCTCCCAGTGCCGTGTGAGTTGTGCTTTGGCGGCATTTACTCGGTGCAGTAACATAAATTACCGCAGGAGGCGACCGCAGAGGGTTCCCCTCCGCTGACCCACACGACATAATAAACGGGACAGGTCGCGACCGCCGAAGAGGGCGGCGGAGGGCGGGGGCGTGGCTGGGAGGCGTGGCGGTTGGGAGGGAGCACCGCAGACGAGCCACTGCAACGTTTTGCGGCTTGCAAATTATTTACTTAATTGCCAACGAAATGTGTCTAATGAGCCAAATGGCGAAATGCAATGAATGCCAATGCGAGGTCCTGGAAATGGCACAGAGGATTACCGATGCGAATGAACACGGCCATAAGAGTCGGCAGAAAGTTGCACGAAAATCGGAATTTGACACTGGAAAAGTGGAGAAGGTAGCAAAAACTTTTCTTTTTTTTTTTAAATTAAAAAGAGTTGTGTTCCTTTGCATACTTCCTGTTTTTTCTGAGCATTGCTTGTAATTCATAAATTAATATGAATATATATTATATACTTCCATTGGGAACTAAAAATTATTCAATTGTTCAATATGTTAGATTTACTTAATAAAATAAAAGCCGATAAAAACTAATTAATTATAATTTTTATTAATAATTAAAAAGCTTATAGATATTTGCGGGTACCTGTTTTATTCCATATTCATTTCTAAGCGCATGCAAACCCTTTAAATTTATTATCCTTCTGCAGCTTTATTACCAATCTGAAAATTTTTGAAAGCAAAAATGCCAAATGAATACTCTGTAGACAAAATGATCAATCATTCTACTTTCCAGCTTTTTGGCAGGGCATTCTAAGTTCGTTATTTTGCTGGAATTGCTTCGATTTTATTCTTTGCTTAGCTGCAAAATAATTTCCGGTAGACAATGGACAATCGAGAATCGAATTTTTCGGAACGTCACCGGCAAGGATGAAATAAAGGAGTGACCAGAGGAGCATGGGCGGTGGAGAGAAGGGGAGGAGGGGCATCGGAGCAGGACGACGTTCAAAATGGTCATGTTTGCATATGTCGCCTCTGTTCCTGCCGCACAGGGGCGGCCGTGGGGAGGGGGCGGGGGGCATGCCGGGGGCGTGGCCATATCGAACATTAGCTAAAACTCAAGTGAGCCGCAACGAATTGAAACGAATCGAATTTCCAGCCGGGAACGATGCAAGGAATGTGGGGCACACCAAAAGAAGCCCCCCTTCAACCCCTCTCTCTAAAATCCCCCCTCAGCGCTTGCATACTGGAAAAAAAGCTCAAATTGTGTAAATTTCAATTGTTTAATATTAAAATGTAAATTAAAGTCACACTTTCCTATAACTTTCAATAGAAGTTCCTTTTTTTGCTGCATTTAGTGGCTGGCTTCAAACAACGTATACGCAATATTTATATTTAATATACGTAAACGCAATTTGCAGAGCGCCTAGGGCTTCACCCTTATATTGCGTATACGACTAGTGGACATAAATGAAAATATATATATACAAAAATAATAAGTAGTGAAGCTAACAATTAGCTTTAAAAATTCATTGAATCTTTTTAGGCAAAATATTAAGCAATATTTTCTTGTTTGCTGTGTTTTTGAATGGCAATCTTAAGAGGCTCGAAGCCTAACTTTTATGTTGCTTACTGAAGATAGTAAGCATAGCTAGATATTTTTAGATGAATCTCACATTTTTCACACTTTTCTTGGTCTGATTGGAATATTTATCGCAGTGTATTGGTGGGGCGCAGCATTTTGCGGCGTGTTTGTGCAGTGACAGCAACAGCGACAAAGTTGATTTATCAGTTTGCTGGCCATTAATCATCGCAGCGACAAGTTGGACAGCCAGCGGACCAGCTGGGGTCAAATACGCCCCCTTAACCCATGTTGCCGGCGGTACTCGGGTCTAACGGTCAACAATGTCGCTAACGCTTCAGCGCTTTGCCATTTTCTCGCTCGTCTCGCTTTTTTTTTTTTTTTTTTTGAATTTCTTTATTTTCTCTATCGGCTCAGATAATAGAAGAAGAGTGTGGGGGGGGAATCTTAATAACTCAGGAGGACACTGGCTTAGCAGGTGACACCGGTCCCACCCACTTCTCCACATCCGCCCTCCCAACTTTCGGTTTGGCTTTGCATTAGAGCATTTTCTTGGCTGCATTTCAATTCACAGCACATAAATCGACAAATCGCCGTTGGCTGCGAAACTTTTGCGGCAGTTACAGGA